ATTTAATGGTTTTTTGAGGCCATACACAGCACAGTCAGGTCATAGCTTCAGGTAGCAGTCCTAAGGCACATTCATTTTAATTAGGCTCTGTTGAACGCAGTAGAACCTCCTTCTGATACATAGGACTGAATGGGAGTGAATTGACAGCCATCCAGTGCAGGAGAGATAAATAGTAGTGGATGGTGGGATGGGGCTCAGCAAGGAAAAATCGGGCTTTCTCAACTTTAGTTCCTCATCTGTAAAATGGGAATAAAAGCATAGTGACCTATTTCCTCCAGGTCTTCTGCAGGCAGAGAGGCAGACATTGGCTGGTAGGGAGACACACATTTGCACAATGCAAATTACCATTGAGGAGAAGAAACAGAGAAGAGACTCAGCAACCTTTCAGAGTCTGATTGTCCGCCCTCTCAAATGCAGCTTTTTTTTGGATTCACTTTCAAAATCCAACTTCCAGGGGTCCCTTTAAAAATTAACACCCCCAGCCCCAAACATCACCACCTCATATATCTTACATAAGTCTAGTTGAGTTCAAGGTCAGTGCCTATAGAATTGGTGTAAGTGCCACAGAACTCTTCTGAGAAGACATGTATGTAAGGTTGTAAGTCTTGTGGACAAACTCTAAGGGGTTATTGCTAAGGATCAATTTGTCAGGTTCAGTGGGTGGTATTGCATGCTAGTCCTACTCAGAGTAGACCTGTTGAAGTTAATGGACAGGACTTACTTAGGTCCATTAATTCCCGTGGGTCTTTTCTAAGTAGGACTTAGCTGAACACTAAGTTTTTCACCTCCGCTTCCCCAGTCCTGTTCATTATTAAATTATTATTACTGCAATATTATTTTTGTTGATATCAAATGAGGTCAGCATTAATGCGATTTAAATGACACACTGCTCTTATTATGAGTCATAAAAATCAGCCATAACAACAGAATGATACTGGGGATTTGAAATTGATTACAGGAAGATCAAATAGTGGGTTTTGGTGGTTTGTTTCTTCAAGCGGTGGATTAATCATGAGAGTTGTGAGTCTTGTCATTCATGGTGGAGAGACCTAAAATAGGGATTTCAGACTTCTTTACAAAAAAAGAATCTGGGCAAAGTATTCTAAAAAGTGCTGTTTATTCATTGGATGGGGGGGGGAGAGAATCCTTGTAAAATTATAGACACCCAGGCACGATTTGTATTTTTTAAAAAAGAAAGACAAATAAATCCCTTTTATTTAGAGTTCTTATTTTCTTAAGGCATCCGATCATCACCTGTTCTGAAACTACCTTGTAAACGCACTTCCCAGCCAAAAGGCCAGGAATTATTATTATTCCAATGGGACAGTTACGCTTAAATATGCCCCACTGATATAGAAGGGGCTTTATAAAGTACGGAATTGCGGTTGAAGTTTTTTTTTTCCTTCCAAAAAACCCACAATTTTATTCGTTTGTTTATTCCATTTATAACAAACGGTCTTTTCCCCCATCCGGGAGCTCAAGGCGGCTTACACGTCGGCTTCCAATCCTGGGGGTCCTTCCGCACAATTCACACCCAGATCCACCAAATAAATCAACGGGACCGGTTGAAAGTACGGCAGCTAGCCTCTCTTCCTACCCCCACTGACCTGGAACAATGTTCTACGGCTTACTCAAAAGTGGGACTTTAGTTGGAAAACACGGAGGGATATCCGTGCGATCGTGGTCATCGAGGGATCCATTGCGTGATAACATCCCGCGCACTTCTTACGGACTCCATAGGGATCCCATTGACTTGGCTAGGACTGCTTATGTCAAATAAGTCCTCCTGCATAATATTAAGCGTATTTTTTGTAAAAAACGTGCTGCATAAATATATATTTTTGCTCCTTATTAGGGAACACCCTTGCGGCACTTCGAAAACTTCGTCGATTTATGATGGCATAAGCTTCCGTAGGTTGCAGTCCACTTCATCAGATGGATGGAGTTTTATTCTGTTTTACAAGTATATGTACATATGAGAGCGGTGCTTTTTTCGGGAGGGGGGGAGTTGTAAACATTGATGTCAGAAGCAGAACACAGATCCCTTGATTCCCGGTGGCGGTTTGCAGACAGTTGTCGCTGATAACACAGGCGTCTCTCGGAACACGGAGAAGCCGGTTCGCACGTGTAACGTAACACCAAGCCCTTGTCGCGATTCAGTCCAGGAGTGATGCGGTCGAACTTCCTGATTAATGCCAATTCAGAGGTTTCACTTGGTGGTCCTCCCTTTAATGATGATGATAATGGTGGTTAATTGCAGACAGTCTCTATGCAAAACACGCAATACGCTCCCTGACCCTGCGGCGATGGTGTGTCTGCCTTACCCATCGAGATCCCAGTAGCCCTAGCCTGGGTTTATTTTTTAGTTTTTCCGTGGGTTCTCATGTGGAGAAGGGTCTTGGGTATAATGCAGTGGGGGAGGCAAAGCCTACTTATCCAGCCCCCCCCCTTTCGGACTTGGAAGGGCTCGTCTGTAGCCGGAGGAGAGATCGGGTTGCAGGAGTGCTGCGCCGGGAGCAGCCGCGAAAAGCGATCCTGTTCTCCGCGTCTGGCCTTCTAACGTTGCAGCAGAGAAAAAGGGGACGGCGCTTCAAGGCAGCCTTTGCAGGTGACCTGGCCAGTTAAGCAGATGTATTTGTGTGTATTTCTGTGCCTAGCTCGCTCGGGAGTCCTATTGAACTCAATGGGGCTTACTCCCAAGGATGTGCGGTTAGGATCGCAGCCCCCTGGAAGGGATCCGAGACGTGCGCAGCCGAGCGAAAGCTCCCGTGGCACGAAGATTTAAGTGGGTGGGGGTCTTTTCGGCGGCGGGGTGTCCTCGAAACCAATGCTGATTGCTCAACTCTAAAGTCATTTCCTTTCTCTCTCTCTCTCACACGTGACAAGGACTGGAGACTTGTGTGAACCCGGACAAAATCCTTTTTATACCTCCAGAAATTATGTATGTCTTTATCCAGAAAAGGCGCGCGGGCTTTCAGACTCCCGAGAGATATAGCACCTGGGAATGTTTTGCGATTTCACAAAACAGTTATGACTTTTATACGGTTTGGAACCCAGAAAGCGTTTTCTTTCTTCCTCCGAATTCAGCATTGCACAAAAGATCCATAATTCTTTTTACTGTAGCTTTGGTCCCAAAGGGATATTTCATGTAAAATTCCTTCCTTCTTCCGTATCCATCCTGGTTTATCACCGTTTTGCATCGAGAGAGCGTTCTCGATCCAGATGGAAAAATTGTTTAAGAAGTGCTAATTCTTTTTATTATGGTTTCTCACTTAAAGCATTCTCCAGCCGCAAGTAAACGTTCTTAATAGAATGTATTGTACTACCCTACTAATTGTAAGATGATTACTCTGAATACTATGCAACGGTAGTGAGAAATACTCCGCAATTACTGTTGGTATAAAATCATACCAATGCAGAAGAGTTTGGGACTATTATGGGATTGAGAGCCCGATTCATACTCGGTTCATATTTCATTCCTAGAGTAATTTTGCTTTAGGAAGAGGGACCCATTTGCTCTCAACCTTAATCTCAAATTTAGACACTTTTAAAAAAAATTGGGAGCATTTGATAACTTTTTGCAATTTATTTTTTTTTTGCTTAACAGACCAAAAAATGACACATCCTTTCGGCTCAGAGCTTCAAATATATTCAAATAAGGGATTTGATCAAAGACTTTGTTGTTGACCAATATAGAACTTTGTCATATTAGATAGTTTAAAGTGTTCCTATATATTAATACAATAAAACGGTTGGAATGGCTCAAGATTAGACCGTGGTGAATGTGTCCTCTCAGATCAGCTAATTATACAAACCATTCACTTTTTGGATACGTTTTCTTCCCCACACACCCCGTCGTCATTTTTTTTTTTTTAAAGATTATTATGGCTAGAGGCCTCAAAAACCGAAAGTGTCCCGAGCCTCTCTGGACGTCTGAGTCTGGATCGGAAAGAGATGTCTCTGCCCAGGTCTCTACGAAGCTTATTCCCACCCCGAGAAAGTGTTTTAAGTTTTTAAGCAGGTGGTGTTTGGATCTGGGGCGGTATCCCCCCCCCCGCAAAAAATAAAACCCATCCCTGGCAATCCTTCGCAAACTAAGCTGGTACGTGTCTCGTCCCCAAGCCTCGAGCCAGACATTATGGGTCGGTGATGACATCTCCGGCGCGAGGGGAGGAGAGGTTTGGGGGTGCGAATCAAGGCTACGCACCATAATTGCCATAGAGCTGTAATTGCTGTCTTACGCAACGTTTAGTTTTGCAGTGAAACGCGGCTTCGCACAACCCGACGCGCGCTTTGTTGGGAGGGAGATCTAAGCGCACGCACTTCTGAGGATACAGTAGCGCATGGGACTGGTGTATTGGGGCGTGTGTGTGTGTCTTTGTGTGTGGTGGGGTCACCGCTAATAGTGCGGCCTGTTTATAGGTCGAAGCAGTAAAACGCAGTAGAACTAATCTGTCCACACGCACCTCTGGAGAAACCGTTTTCAGTGCCGGTCCATAGACCGGACTGAAGAAGGGATTATTCGTTCTCAAGGTCTGGCGGGGCGAGATGACCCCTTCTTTGGTTCGGGAAACTGCAGAGCGGACTGTTTTGCTTCTAGGCTGGACTCACTCTGGGAAGGGGTTGCGCTGCTTCTTCCTATATACGTAATTGCTGGTGATTCTGGGGTGTCCTTCCACACCTGGGCAAACAGTGCCCCCAAAGTTTCTGCTATTATTCTGGTGACCACGGCAAGAGAACTGCAAAAATGAAGGAGGAAGCGCATTCTACCCGCTCTACTGCTCCCCGCCACAATCCTCTCCAATTTATAGCTCTCTTCTTTGCTAGTTTGTCGCTGGTAGTGTTTCCGCAAAGGAAGCGGAGAGCGGAGGATGCGAAATTAGCGGCGGGGCAGAAGGCCATCCTTACAAGTCCGTGTGGCATCGCCACCCACGGGAAGGTGCGCAGAGCGAGCGAGAGGAATCCTCTGCGACAGCGAAGGGAGCTGCGCCCTCAGCCTTGCAAGGAAGGCGCGCGCTAAGGAGGGAGGAGAGTGGTGTAAATAAACGCAATAAATCCAGGGGAAACCGGAAAAAGGGAAAACCAGGAGCATTTACCTGAGCTATTCCTTGCTGGGGAAAAAGAAGGAATGCGGGAGAAATGTGTGGAGAAAGCAAGAACATAAAACTCCCACTCGATCCTAAGCGCTTTACCTGGAGGTCAACCTCCCTGAGCAGGCGCGGCGCTTACTTCCGAGTAAACGTGGCTAGGCCGGCTGCCGATCCGAGGTGCTGGGGGGGGGGGGAGGCAAGCGGGAGGGGGGACGAGGTGGCAGAGGAGGAGGAGGAGGAGGGAGATTTCGGGTTGGGCCAAGGCGCGCGGAGCCACTTTCCGCCAGCTGGGAGGAGGGAACGGCGATGGGTTGCTGGAAAGGGGGGGAGGGGGGAGGGAAGGGCCAGGGCAGAGGAGAGAGGGGTGGGGGAGCCGCTTCGGAAACTTCCTTCGGCTCCTTCTCTTCCCGCAGCAGTTTCTGCCGCCGGGCCGCCGCCGGGCCCCTGCCATGCGCGCCGCGCGCGTCCCAGCGCAGCTGGCCCTGGCGCGCTGATCTCCCCGACGGGCGAGCCGTTTCCACGCGGGCTCGGCGGTTCTGTGCCCTCCTATGGACGACGCGAGCCCCCTATCCCCCAAGGCCAACGCGTTCAGTATCGCCTCTCTGATTTCAGCCGCTGAGCGCGAGGGAAAAGGAGGCGGCGACGAAGAAGACGACGACAACGACGAGGAGGTTGCAGTCGCTGCGCTGGACTCCGAGCCCAGCGCCGCCGTCGGTGGGGGCCTGCGCAGACCTTACAGCCCCTCCGCTGCCGCCGCTGCCGCCGCCCGGAGGAGGATGCATTTTAGCGCCGTTACCCGGGACATGGAAGGTAAGCGGCGAAGAGACTCGAGAAATTTGCTTTTAAATAAATCAGTTGGTGGGGAGGGGAGAGGGGATGTCTGCAAAAATATGTGGCGCCCCTCAGCCACTGCTTAGCGCAGCCGGCACCCAGAGGTCAAGGGCGAAGGGAGCTCCGGGGATCTCGCCCACAGAAACTCGCACAACTGCACAGTTTGCTCGGATACTCTCCTCCCGGTTAGAGCAACCCAGCTCTGCCGCGCTCGGAGACCCGGAGACGGCCCAAGGGGCTGTGTTGCAGCAAGGAAACCTTTTGACAACAGCCTCAAACAAAGCAAAACCCAACGCCCCAGTCCCTCTGCGCCGCGCACGCCGACACCTGGGAATTCAAGGTGCCTGGGCTTACTTCCGAGTAGACACGCCTCCGCTTGCCCTGCGCCGGCTCCCTTGCTCCAAGGAACTTCCGCGCATTGAAAATGTGCCTTGTTTCGCGTATATTATTTTCCGTGGCGCTTTGTCGCCGAGGAATAACGCGGGTTTTGGGGGCTTCGGGTCTTAGGGAGCTGCCTGCTGCCGAGTTAGACCAGCGGTCCCTCTAAACTCTTCTTACTGACACTAGGTCTCCGCGGGTCTGGGGCGCAGATTTCCCCCGATCCTAAGGGGTCTGAACTGGGGAGCCATCTGCCTACAGAGCATGCCGTTTGCCGCTAAGCCACGAACGACCCTTCCTCATATATAGGCTCCCCAATGGAGATCCGCAGCAAAAAGCGCCCCCGGATCCTCCAGCTCCGGGCCGTAGCCAGCGGAGATATACTCAGAGTAGACCCAAAGGAGCTAATGAACCTGTTAGTCATGCCCATTAGTTTCAATGGGTTCTGCTTGGAGTACCCATTATAATTCATAATAATTAACGACAACAATAATAATTATTATTATGATGAATGTTGTGCAGCATTGCCAAGTCACTTAGCATTAAACTCACCGTGTGAGCGGATGGGTCTGTGAGCAGCAAACATTGCAGTTCTGTTTGGGGTTCTTAAAAAAAATAATAGTCCATACTTTTGTTTAACCGATCTAGGAACTAAACCACAACCTCTTCTGGTTTGCTCGCCCGCCCGGCGTCTTTTCTTTGGAAAACGACTCTCCTCTAAAAGTAACCGAGGCCGGAGTCCCGAAACAGAAGCCTACCTGGGCGTCAGCCCCATAGAACCCAGTGGGGTTGGCTTCCGAGTAAAAGCATCTGTGGCATTTGGGTGGCACATATAACGTTAGCAACTGGAGCCACCGCCCACGGAAAAAACAAACAAACCACAGGCTCTCTCAAATCGATAGTAAATCTAGGTTAGGCACATGCTTGTAATGTGCTGCTTCGCTGTCAATTAGCAAAGTAGCCCTGAGCTATGGAGTTATTAGCAGCGATTGCAGCGCAGTCAGGAAGGGACCACGTGTGTGTTTCGGGGGAGGGGGGGGGAGAAGCTCTCTCTAATTTGCCTGTAAGAACAAGAGAAAGTTGAGTATTTGGGACATATAAGTCTATTCTATTCTTATTATTAAATTCTATTCTTATTATTAAATTTACAAGGAACTATAATAGTTCCCTTCTACATAAGGAAAGTCAAGGGAATGCAAATCTAACCACAGGACTTTTTAAAGTCCCGTTCCTTTGAGTGGGAAGAGGTGAAGTCTTGTCTTAACCCTTACTGAAAAATAAACGGCTGAAACTTCGGAATAAATGAATGGAACTACAGGTTTTGACCGGATGGTTCCCATATACGGTGCAGATTATACACACAGGATCACACTAACGTTCTGTGGAGCTGACATAAAACACGTTTGAGTCTTGCTTCCCGGTAAATATGGTAAACACTGGGTTGTATTTTATATACAGAGATCTTAATCACTTAACTTGGAAGCCAGTTCCATTTAAGTTTTTTTAAAAAGTTTACTATAAATAAACACACAGAAATGAACTTGTGCTAGATTCCACTGCGATAGCCCGGTTCATTTCAACGCGCAATGGGGCGTTAGCCTTGGCGGGGAGGAATTAGTTCACGATATTACAGAGCTTGGAAGAAATACAAATAATTAGAAATAAAATAAAATAGCAGTGTTATGGTATAGGAAGTCATATGGCGCTTATAGAAAGTATAAAACAATGGTTTTAGAACTTTAAAAAAACCCCGGCTGGTTCAAAGTCAAGAGGCGATTTTCTACAACCATAATCCATAAAGTTTAATTGGAGAGTGGCGGAGAGGATTCTCTGTTTCAAATATTCCATGTGGGGGAGAGAGAGAGAGAGAGACTGGGGGCTCATCCAGACGACCAGAGCAATAAAGGCTATATGCTGTATTACAGCGCAGCCAGACACCGTGCTAAACAGCAAGCGAATAACACAGGACACAATATGGATTTAGCACGTGTTTGTAAACCGCCTGGAAGAACTAGCTGGTGGAAATGCAGGATACACATAAACTTTAATTAATTAAACTTCGCGGAAAGGTCACCTATACTATAGGAACCCCACAGAAGTGAATGGGAGAGATGTGGTACTGCGCGGTTCCCGTTCACTTCCATGGCTCTCTCTCTCTCCAGAATGAGATCTTCTGGCTTGAGGAGGTGTCCAAGAGTAGCTCAGAATAATATGACGGGCTTCCACACTACATCTTAAAATAAGCCATAATAACTTTTTTAAAAGTTGCTTTTTAAAGGTTACTTTTAAAACAGACTATACTTACTCGAGCTGACTCTTAAACAACAAGAAAACTTAGATTGTATATTCGCTATTTCATTATATAGCGGGATTTAACCTCGGCAGGAGAGTCCTGCCAACTTTCCCCAAATTTTCTAGTAACCCAATTCTCTTACAGGAACATTTTTTTGAGAGGAAGTAAACTCCATTGAATATGATATCTAAAGAGTCGTGTAGGAAAAGATGCCCATTCAGTCTGATTTCAGTGAGTATTCTCCGCAGGAATAACTTTAATCTTAATTTTATTTTTAAATCCGAACAGAGGAATCAGAATAATTCTGTGGTTTCCTTGGAACTTGACTTCCAAGGAAATGCACTTCCACGGCAATCTAATAATAATAATAACTTCCCAAACTAATCTAATTATATTAATAATGCCTCTTCTTGAAACCAATACCATTTCATTCCTTCCAGCGTGCAGAGCATTGGGAGGAACGTCATAGCTCAGTTGTAGGACATCTGTCTTGCATGCAGAAGGTCCCGGGCATCTCAGGTAGAGCTGGGAAGGTTCCTTTTCTAAAACCCTGGAGAACCGCTGCCTGTCATTGGGGACAATATTGAACTAGAGAGATCAGTGATCTGACTCCGGGTTAGCAACAGTGAATTTATCCCCCTACCCTCTCCAATACTGTGTTCACATATTAGCGAGCCCGCAATCCGGATTAGTACTGCAATCTCATATATAGGACAGTAAACCTCATTCAACACTGTATATAGATCGGGGGCCTAATTCGGACAATTTCGGGGTGGAGAGGGGATTCCTGTCCAAGTCCTCCTGGCCATTTAAATAGAGTTAAGAGCTCAAATAAGGCCCCTCGCTTTTGCTTCCAGTATACGGCTTAAGAGATTTGTGGACCGGCGCTTGCTGAAGCTTCAGAGGTCCTGGGTTAAAAACGAGCCTGTTTGAAGGGGTAGGAAAGTTGCAGTGGTGCTGGATGAGTTTGCACATCTATAATATGCATATAATTAATTTGCATTATAAAAGGAAATGGGGATGAGGGTGGATGAGAGGCGATGCAAGTGGGTTGTTGTTGTTTTTTTTTTTTTAAGAGGTTGCATGTAAATTTCTGCTTGCATCAAAGCTGGGAGAGCGAGCCAAGGGAGAGCTCCAGGAAAAGCCCACCCCCTCCAAGCGCGCGCGCGCTCTCTCCCTGCTTGTCAATCACTTCGCGGCTCCCGAGGCAAGGAAAAGCGCGCGCGCGCGCGTTACCTTGCAGGGGCTCCCCTTTATCGCCATTAAAGAAGAAGGGAGAGGGGGGAGGAAAGTAAGAACCGGTTTGGTGGCAGCGAAAAGAGGGAGGCCCTCTACTGAGAGAAAGAGAGAGGGAAAAGAGGCCGTCTCACAGCCAAGCCAGGAGAAAATGGAAGCAAAGAAGGCGTTTAAAAGATGAGGGGGACGAAAAGGAAGAGGGTGGGTGCGGGGCGGAGGTGCCGAGCCCTGCCCGGGCAGCCAGCCGCCAGCGCTCGCTGGCTGACTGACGGCCGGGCTGGTTGACTCGCCCTCTCCCTTTCAGGGGCGAGGCCAAAAGCCAAAGCGCGAGAGGGGGGGGAGAAAGAGTTTGGCGGTGGGAGGAGGGACGTCCCCTGCTGGGCTGGGCGCGAGGAGGAGATAGGAGAGCGTGGCGCGCGCCCAGGCCTCTCCACCGCCGCGCTCTCCCCCCCCCCCAGTCCCCGGGGGAATGACTCAGTCCGTCTGTCAGTCAGTCAGTCAGGAGCGCCACAGCGCGAAAAAAAAGAGACAGAGGCAGTCTGAAGGAGTTCTTGTCAGTAGCGCTCGCTCGCTCGCTCTCTCTCGAGCCGCCGGGGAAGCGAGAAAACGCCAGAGAAAAGGAGCTCGTTCCTTCAGAGTGCGAGGGGCTTTTCTGGGCCTCTCTCTCTCTCTCGGCGTTCAGTTCTCTCGGCGTCTCGCCGGAGCCGAGGCGGTGGCCGCCTCGCGCGCCTTCCTCGGAGAGCCCCCGGCGCGTTTATGAGGAGAAGCAGCCGTGGGGTTAAGCTGCAAAGTTTCTAGTGCGCGCGCAGGCGCGCCACCGAGAGCGGAGGAGCGAGCCAGCCGGCGCTGAGGCGAACTTGGCCGAGCGCTTTTTTTTTTAAGGGGGGGGTGAGAGAGAGAGAGAGAAAAGGCCAAGTCAACCGAGAGAGAGAGAGGGGCCTCCATTCTCTTTCTCCCTCAGCGGCGGGGCGCTATAAATTGAGGTGGCTGTGGCGCCGCGGCCCAGTTTACCTCAGGAGGGCGAGCAGCTCCGGGAAGCGAGCGAGCGAGCAACCGACCTGACCGCCCGCTGTTCTCTCTCTCTCTCTCTCCCCCTTCCTTCCTTTCTCTCTCTTTTCTTCTTCTTCTTCTTCTTCCTCCGGCATGATATCAGCCATCTCCAGCCCTTGGCTGACGCAGCTGTCCCATTTTTGCGACGTCGCCGCTTTCACGGCCAACAGCCTGAGCAGCCTCAACGCGTCGGCGGCGGCCGCGGCCGGCTACCACCACCTCTCGCCGTCGCCGGGGGACCCGTACGGCCAGCATGAGCCGCCGCACTACGAGCCCTGCTCGGCGCAGCAGCAGCAGCAACAGCAGCAACACCCGCCGCCTCAGCCGCCCCCGGCGCCGCAGCACCACCACGCCAGCCAGCAGCAGCAGCAGCAGCAACCCCAGCAGCTCGGCTACGCCTTCCCAGGCGGCTCCGGGGCCAATCCTCCTCCTCCGCCGCAGCCGCCGGGCTCCGACACCCCCGAGAGCGGCGGAGGGGGAGGCGGCGGAGGCGGATCGGCGCCGGCCTCGGCCAAGGCGCCGGTCAAGAAGAACCCCAAAGTGGCCAACGTCAACGTGCAGCTGGAGATGAAGGCGCTGTGGGACGAGTTCAACCAGCTGGGCACCGAGATGATCGTCACCAAGGCCGGCAGGTCAGAGCCCCTTTGCGCCTTCCTCCCCTTTCTTGTTTGGCGCGCGGGGCGGGTTGGACTGGATGACCCCGGAAGGTCCCTTCCAATTCTGCGATTCCCGGCCTCTCCGGGCTTCCTAGGCTGGAGTAAAGGGGGGGGTGTCTTGCTCAGAGGAGATCGGGCGAGGCTTCCCTTCGTGGTGCCTTTTGAAATGGACGGGCCTAAGGGAGTCAGGTCCATTAACTTCAATGGGGCTACTCTGAGCAAGGCTAGCATGGGACTCCGTGGGGCGCTAGGGGCTTCCTTCCGAGGAAGTGGGGTCCACCGTTTCTTCTCACCCCCAAACTTCTTCCCCGAAAGACCCCTTCTCAGGTGCTTTCTGCCCCGATGGGCAGGCAGTGCGGACGAATGGGAAACATACCAGGCGTTCTTTTATTTATTTTAAGGCATTTATTATTATTATTATTATTATTATTATTATTACACGATCCTGCCACAGTTGGGCGCTATGGGGATGTCCCGTTGAATACATAAATATAATCTGGGGAGACTGGGAAGGAGGGAAGGCTGCGATCCTATGCCTGCTGAAACTTGCAAGCGCTGTTGTGCTTTCTTCTGAGCAGAAGACCCGCCGAGGATTGCGGCGTTAAGGCTGCGATTCTGTGCGCGCTTTGGATAGTAAAAGCCTTTGAGCGCGTTGGGACTTTTAATCGACTTCCTGGAGTTTATTCTTCATTCCTGCCGTGAATACCACTAGGTCCCCCCCCCCCCTTTGCTTGCTTGCTTGTGGCATTTTTTCCACCCTCCCCTTCATTGTTTTCCTTACGCTCTTCTTGCTGTGGCTTTGGTTAAGTGCAGGAGTTACTAAGGAACGAATTCGTCCCTAAACGCCCCGATCCCAACCACTTTCGCTCGTGCCCGCCTCTCCTCCTTCAGCGGTGCTTACTTCCAAGTGAGACTATGTGATCCAGGATCCTTCACTTTATTGACTCCGGATTTCATGTAGCGACATCTCGGCTTATCTGACCCAAAATGTTGCTGATTTGTTTGCTTTTTTAAAAATCCCCTTTACAGTTCACAGTAGTACAGGCTAACGCTGGTGGAAACCTTTTTGATTTGAAAAATAGGTGTGGAGGATCATTATTGTCATCATAATGCGATGATTAAATGATTAGTTCATTACCAGTCTTAATCAACCCTCATCCTTCCAAAACTCTTTCTTGAGACCCAATCTTTACATATATGCACAATGTGTATTTTTAAAAAGTAGCGCTGTAATGGTTTAATAGATCCTGTACACGTTTACTCAGAAAGAAGTCCTACTGAGTTGAATGAGAATTGCTCCAAAGTGTGTGTGTGTGTGCGCGCGCCTAGGATCGCAGCCTGCGCTCCCTCTACCGCCCCGCCCCACCCTACCCTCCTCGTCATTTCCTTCCGATAATTTGCTGCCCATTATAACTTTAAAATAGCTTCCCGCAAGGTGGTAGCCCACAAATTAACTAAACGTAATTGTACTCAAAACTGGCTGATCCACTTTGATCCTGAACGCAACAACGTGTACTTGTCATTCCGGCTGATTTAACGAGGACTCATTTTCACCTGAATAAATTGTTTCGGGTGGGGGCGTCAGCGGTCTCCCTTTGATTCGGCGGAAGAGGCAAGCTCGATCCTTAAAACCCTTCGCTCAGGTAGAAGCAGCTTGCCTGGCCTGACTTGGTTTGCGGGTTGTAACGTGCAAAGGGGTCAACGCGTGACCGTTCATTCCCTATTTTGGGAAGAAAAAATGTATAAAAATCAGAATTAAACGTTGAGATCCCGGCAGTCGAGCGGAGATTTTAACTTCCACAGGGATACGCTGCACGCTTTAAAATTATATATCTTAATATTTTAGCTGGCGCAAAATCTGCTTAAAATCTTAAATACGCGTAGTTTCTTTTCATTGTCCGGAGTTTGGGTTCTAGTCTCTGTTGAGTCGCGTAAAATGTGGGTTTCGCAACATGCGGTTCTTTCTTTCTTTCTTTCTTTCTTTCTTTCTTTCTTTCTTTCTTTCTACCGTCCCACCACAGTGCAGAAAATTAAAGTTCAGAATTTCAATGCCGTTTTAATGCTTTTGCTTTTTTTTAAAGTTCCTAAGGAATGAATTCAAATTCCCTTCGGGGGATAGATAGGTTGGAAACATTTTATAGGCCTGTTTCTGGAAGAAAATATATATTTAAAAACTTCACTCTTTCAGGGTAATCTGCTTTCAGTCACTTGTGTTTCTTTAAGGGGAAGCTCTGCGTTTTGTCTCAGTGTGGAAAAGAAAAGAAGAGTTGGGAGCGGAGAACAGAGAAAGCCTCTTATAAATGTGTGGGGAAGCGCGGAGAGGCAAACGTGTGTTTACATTGCTTAAAATATATATGAAAAAATACAGGGAGGGGGTTATATCAATACGGAGCTTTGTTAGTACTTTATTTTGAGCGGGGGAAATGATGGGATTTCGCCTGTTTAGTCATCGCTTTCTATTCATGCCTTCGGAAGGGAAGTAAAATAAATTCAGGATTCGCCCTAGCAGGCCTCTCAAACTCTCTCTCTATATAGTACATATATATAGTATATATACATACACAATAAGAACAAAAATAGGTTGGGTTTTTTTTAAGTATTATGTTTCGTTAAAGCCTTAGTTCAGCATAATTTAAACATTCATTTATAAAATGCTGGGGATTTTTTAATTTTATTTTTTGCATTTTAAATTTTGGGTATATACTAAATGAAACACCTACTTCAGAGGGCCGCATAAATTAACTTGAACACACACAGCCACCCCCACCCCCAACTTTCCTGTCCCAGCAGGAGTTGTCGTATATTGTGCTCCCGTTTTGTTACAGCAACAACCCACAATTCAGTTAAGCTGAAATAATTGGGAGTTGTTGCTCCGTTGGGGCCCCGATTATGGAACGGTTTCTGCCGAGGCAATGAACGCCGCCCAAGGCGCTATAAACAGACCTCCGCTTCCGCGTCAGGAGAAAGTTCAAGCCTGCGCTTAGTTCCTCGGAAGTAAGACCCAGCAAAGTTCAGTTCCTCACTAGCTAAGAGTCTTTAGGGTGACATCCTCTGTGAGTATACGGCCAGCAGTTGGTAGATCAGCCCCGCTGGTTTCAAAGGGGAATTGGTTGAAGAATCACAGTCCCTAACTTCTTTTTATGGCAAGAATGCGGAGAGAGGGGGAGGGCTAGCTGGGGCCTTGAATCTGATCCCAACCAGCGTGGCAAATATCGTTGGTCTTCCAATCACGGCACACGGGCTCACTTTTATTTTGTTAGAGCAAGGAGCTCCGGATCTGGCTTGTTAGCCCCATAACCTTTTCGGAGAGGAGCCGCTTTGGTTCTGGAAACGAAAGACTCCATTGCAGAGAAGAGGCCCGGTGTGCGCTGGAGTCCCATTTGGGTCTGACGCTTTGGGGGAATTTATTTTCTCTCTCTCTCTTTTTCTTTCTTTCTTTCTTTCTTTCTTTCTTTCTTTCTTTCTTTCTTTTTCGCTCTCTCTCCCCGCGACTGTTCCTCGGGAAGCAGAAACGCCTGCACATGTTTGCTGGTAGCAAACCGTGAGCAGAAAGGAACAAAGCCTGCCAAGTCTACCACCGTCTCCTGCCGAGAATGCTCGGTAGGAATTATTAGCCAACCCGGTCATAATTTTCTTTTTCCAGTCGCCCCCGCTCTCTTTCCCTTTCCGTTTACACCTCTGCAGCAAGCAGTGATGCAGAACACCTGCTGGTAGGCAATGGGCACGATCCATGCTCTTTTAAACTGCATTGATCTCCCCCTCTTTTCTTATCAGAATGTCATACATTTAATAAAAACACCTTCCCAATCCTGGGAACCGTGGTTTACACCTTAGAATCCCCAGTACCCTTAACAAACTACAGTTTCCTTGATTACTTTTGTGTGTGGGGGTGTGTGCTTTAAATGTATGGTGTGTACGCAACTTGATCTCTCCCAGGGGAATCTAGGCGATTTCCAAGGAACTTGGCTTTGCCTGGATCTTGCCCAGCCTTTTTAGATCAAGGGTTTTTCCTTTCCTGGGAGGCGATTTTTAAAGTAACTGGTCTAGAAGTTACATAGCAGTGTCAGGAAGAGAATACCCACGCCTTTTAAACTTCCACAAAAGAACACTCTGTTTACTTACTTTACTTGGCAGTAGTTAAGTTTAAATAATATTTGGCTCTGGACTTCACAGTCCTACGGTGACTCTATAGATGCGTGTTTGGGGACCCTCCTGCTCATTCTTCTGAGTGGGTCCCTGGACTTCTGCCCCCAAAGTTCTACCTGGATGGCACAGTTTATAATTGTTGATCGTGTTAGAAGAACCCTTTTAACTAATACATAAACATGAATTTCCTCCCCCAGGCACAACAGAAGTTGCTTAGCGTTGTTCCTGTCGCTTTGAGTGTTTGCTCAGAAGTAAACCTCGCTGTACGAAAACGTAAATGTACACAGTTGTTGCGTTTAAACAGCACACACACACACACACACACACAGAGAGAGAGAGAGAGACAGACAGACAGACAGACAGACAGACAGACACACACACACACACACACACACACACACAATTTCCTTTCCAGTCCCTTTGGAGCTTACCGAAGGGACACGGGGGAAAATACAGACTGGCTATGAGATAGTCACTACCTCATGTGGACGCCCCGCAGAAAAGTGAGCGAGCAAAGCGTGACATTGCCACCCTAAATCTAAAAGGCTATACGCAGTCACTTGGGATTGAGTCCCACTGGACTCGATGCGATTTGTCTCTCAATAAACATGCCTGCGAGGATTGCAGTAAAAAGTACAATGTGGAAAACGTTCATTTAGGAAAGCAGAGATTCTGGATTTGAAAGGAATCTCTCCATGGGCGAGCTTTTTGTTTTGATTTTAAAAAAACAAAGACTTGCGGGAAAAGGAAACTGATGCCCCAGTTTCTCTCTCAGATTCGCGAGAATTAGGGTTCATACCATCCGGCAGCTTCTAAGTCAATGGCTGCTTTTGTTCTGAATTGGTAGGGCTGAAATAATGGAGCGGGGGAATGGGCGACTTCCTAAAACCTCGGCGATTGTTTCAATGGGGGAAATGCTCTTCGCATTGATTTCGGTTTGGTTTGAGAGTTCTTTGCCCACATTCCTGGGCCCTGCTGTGTGCGCGGGCCTCCATAAGTGAGTTGGGGGTTTTGTGGGGCGTGGTTTTTGGATTTGAAAGCCGCCATCGTGGTTTCCCCAAGAAGCCCTCTATCTGAAACGGATTTCCTTTTTTAAGAAAAGGTCAGCGCCGTTGATTTCAACGGGGGTCACGTCCCAGTGAACGTGTTTATTTATTAGCAACACTGATACACAGCTTAATTTTTTAAAATAAAAAAAACCCTGGCTGTAAGCGGTTTTAGGGTCTGTGTTAGGGTCTGCAGATCTGAAATCCACGCATTTCGTATGTTAACGAAGTCCTGAGCTTGTGAATCGAACCGTTAACCCCTTCCGGACTCCTATTTATTTGGGGGGGTGTAAAATAGCGGGTTGTCAAATTTTTAAACGTCAATTTTAGATAGAATTACAATTGCAAATCCCCGAAACGCTTAGGTCCGGCCAGGGCGAGTTTGCTCGACGTAGTTCTGCGCTGATCCCTGCTGCTCTAGAACTTGATTTCGCCCATCTACATTGTAGAAAAATAAGCCACGATTCTATTATCCGAGAACCCCTTGTCTTCCCTAGTTCCTTTGGCGGTGGGTCACTCCAAAGCGGTTTTCTTTGCTTCTTCATTTTGACTGATTTTAGTAGAGTTGATTACGAAGCAAGATTCTCTAGGGAGGTCTTCTAAAAATCGTGCTTGCGCGTTTGAGAATCTGCTGAATTATTTTTAAGTGGAACAACGAGGGAAAAATTAAGGCTTACCGGTAATTCCTAAACATGTACTGGGGAGTAAGTCCCGTTTAACTTACTTGGACTCGGTTCCGAGTAAAGGCAAAAAATGCTCGCTGAAAGTGGTGGGAAAAATTACTGGATATCGTTCCTGTCTATATTTTAAATTCTCTCACATGTATACTGTCCTTACATTTTAGCCCAAACCGTTTTAAAATTCTGAACGCCTCTACCAGAGGTGGGGAAAGGGAAAGGTTAAAAGGGGGCAAAACAAACCGATCTAATTTTTTTAAGACAGGCTTCTAGTCCCTGGTAAGGGCGAGTGGTCCGGTTTATTTTAACGACTCCTTAAAACCGGTGGTGTTTCAAGCTGGAGTTTCTCAAGTTAACGTGTTTGTTTTTCAAGCTTCATTTAAGGCCAAACGCGAAAAAACACCGGGGCGGGAGGTTAATAGGGTTCACCTCCTGTTAAACTATCAGCTCAGGGCCTGACACAATATTGCGCTCCGGGTCTGGGGGTGTGTGGTTTGGTTTTTCCCCGAACGACTCCGAAGTCGTCCCAGTCCCCACCAGACGGGACAAGTAGGCACCGTTAAGCAGAGATGCCCGCACGTTTTCTACAAAGAGCACGTTTGGTTCGGAGCCGGCCAGAGAATCTCTCTCTCCCAAGCGCAGACGGGGGGCGGGCAGAGAAATGTTAGGGGGAAGGCTCGTGAAACGTCGGGAACAGAAAGGACAGCTGTCCCAATCCGCAATGGAGATTTCTCCCTGCCTCCCTCTCCTTCTCTGCCTCTCTGTTCCAACGGAGCCTGTGCTTCTTCCCCCTGTAAAGGGAAGCAGCTCCCGGACGGGGTGGCCAGTATTCTGTTGCAGCGAGCAAACGAGCCTGCACCCCTGCGCCTCTTTGCCTGGGAGTAAACGCCCGTTGAACTCCCCTTGCCTGGGGAGCTGCTGAAGATCTGCGTGCCCCGAGGGAAGGCAGGAGCAAGAAAACCTACGCACCAGGGAGGCCACAGACCAGCAGTACGCAGCTGGCAGGAGAGGACTCTTGTCCGCCTTCGTTTAAGATAATCCATTTGTTTTAGTATTTAAATTGTAAACCGCCTTGGGTGTCTTGGCAGAGAAGGCGGTATACAAATCCAATAAGTAATTTAAATATACAACCCAGCTCCATGCGTCTTGCGGACTGGGTTCTCGCAGAAGTTTATGCCGCAGTAAACCAGTCCATCCTTTTAAAAGGTCGCTTCCAGGCGGGTTTTTGTTTCGTGAGCATTCAGCCCGACTTGTTTTGGGGAGGGGGAGGTTAGACGACGTAGCAGGCCTATTTCACGAGCAAGTCATTCTGCTCTGTGGCAGGGAGGAGGAGAGATTAGACGACGTTGTGCCCAGCAAGTGCTATTCTGCACTGTCCTTATTTTTCAGAACATACCAGTGTTCCCTGAAAGGGACCCAGTTTAACAAACCTGCTCAGATATCTTCTTCATATGGTGGTACAACTTTTTTTTTTTGGTGTATGTGTGTCGGGGAATCGCCCCTGACATCTCTGATTAGAAGCAAGAGAAACGGACAGCTAAGCGTGTCTCTTTATCACAAGCTGCTAAGTTTACTGGTGCCGCATAAGTCCCGCACTGTGACATATTCTCTAAGAGGAGCTACGTACTGAGGCTACAGTTCTATACAACGGGGAGTAAGACCCAACGAACTCAACAGGGCTGAGTAGATATATATTCGACTGCGCTGTTGATGGGACGGATTGTGGCCATCCTTACCCAACTTTTATCTTTCCGGCCCCTTGCAGATCGAGCCTCTGCATACTTACTTGGGAGTAAATACCACTCTATTGCAATAGGTGTTGTCCTTAGAGATGAAGCCCTAGAGTTTCTGAATTGTTTAAGTACAGAATCTTAGGACTGTAGAGCTGCAAGGGACCACGCGGGTCATCTAGTCCAACCCCCTGCGATTCCCGAATCTTTTGTCTAAGGCGAGGCTCGAACCCACGACCCTGAGATGAAGAGCCTCTTGCTGTACCCGCTGAGCTAACCCAGCCATCCCCAGAAAGCTGGTCTGATATAAAATTCATTATATATTTTTCGGAGTGGGGCCTCCTGCACATTTGATTTCAGAAGCCCCATCCTATCCGTTTTCTTAGACACCCAATTTATTTCGGGTGGGATTTGCTCCCAAACAAGTTTGCTCGGAGTTGACACCTACTTTGTCCTCCCATCAGCTTAGCAGTTAAACATTTTAGCTGGGGGGTCCTGACCGATTTCAAGGGGGGGTTTATTTCCCAGTGGGGTGGGGGGAAGCGATCCAGAGAATTGAATGCTGCGCTCTTAGCTGTGTGAGCAGAAGCCGGCTGGTGCTTTCGGAAAAGGCTCCCGCCCGCCTTGGTCTCTGCCTGGATTGCGCGCAAGGCGCCTAAGGATTTATTTTTAATTTATATCCCACTTTTTTCCCCAGGGAGCTCAAGGTGACCTACCTGCTTCTGTCCCTCCTTGTTTAATCTCCGCAATAGCCCTGTGAGGTAGGTTAGGGTGAGAGAGCGTGACTTGCCCAAGGTCACCCAGTGAGCTTCATGGCCCAGTGGGGATTTGAACCCTGGTCTTCCAGATACGAGTCCACACTCTAACCACTAGGCCACATTGGCTCAGAAAGCCCGAGGCTGCTTATGCGCACACCATGCATTTTAAAACACATTCTTCCAAAAGATCCTGGGAACTGTAATTGGCCCCATATAGAGCTACAGTTATAGGGACGTGGGTGGCGCTGTGGGTTAAACCACAGAGCCTAGGACTTGCTGATCAGAAGGTCGGTGGTTCGGATCCCCCCAATGGGGTGAGCTCCTGTTGCTCGGTCCCTGCTCCTGCCAAGCTAGCAGTTGGAAAGCGCATCAAAGTGCAAGTAGATAAATAGGTACCTCTCCGGCGGGAAGGTAAACGGCGTTTCCATGTGCTGCTCTGGTTGGCCAGAAGCGGCTTAGTCATGCAGGCCACATGACCCAGAAGCTGTAAGCTGGCTCCCTTGGCCAATAAAGCGAGATGAGAACCGCAACCCCAGAGTCGGTCACGACTGGACCTAATTGTCAGGGGTCTCTTTACCTTTAGAGCTACAGTTCCCAGCACCCTTAACAAACTGCAGTTCGCATTATTCTTTTGTTGTGGGGGCGGGAGAGCCTTGCGCTTCAAACTTGTGGGGTGTACTCAGTCTAAGCTCCAGGCTGAGCTTCTGAGAAACGTGTATGTCCAAATCACATCCCGCCCCCTCAGCTGGGAAAAGTTTGGTCACCTGGGAAAGTGGCTCGCCTGGGGAACCTGCCTCCAGCCTTGTGATGCTGGGTCCTTCCTCGGCTGATCTCCTCAAGCTCTTCTGAGCCAAGCTAGGCATAGACACGGAGGAAACTGCTCTATAGGGATTCAGACCATTCTTCCACCTAGCTCAGCGTTGTCAACAATGACTGGTAGCCGTGGTTTCAGACCCACGTGAAGGTGCCAGGATTGAACGTGGGACCTTGTGCATGCGAAGCAGACCCTGTACCACAGTCCTGTGGCCACCCCCGTTGAAGATGCCTGCATTTAAGAGCCATCAGAATTTACTCTTAGTCTTGGACTCTTGCTCTCCTGGCTCTTAGCCAGCGCATGGCTCAACCTTCACATAGGATGGAGCCTACAAGCAGAAAGACTGAGATGCTGCTCAGACTTCTTTTCACTGTAAAGGTAAAGGGACCCCTGACCATTAGGTCCAGTCGAGACCGACTCTGGGGTTGCGGCGCTCATCTTGCTTTATGGGCCGAGGGAGCCGGCGTACAGCTTCCGGGTCATGTGGCCAGCATGACTAAGCCGCTTCTGGCCAACCAGAGCAGTGCACGGAAACGCCGTTTACCTTCCCGCCGGAGCGGTACCTATTTATCTACTTGCACTTTGACGTGCTTTTGAACTGCTAGCTTGGCAGGAGCAGGGACCGAGCAACGGGAGCTCACTCCGTGGCGGGGATTCGAACCGCCTACCTTCTGATCGGCAAGTCCTAGGCTCTGTAGTTTAACCCACAGCGCCACCTGCGTCCCTTTTTTCTTTTCACTGTAACCACATGATAAAGCCTGCCTTCAGGTTACTGCTGTGGACTGAATGTGAGTAAAACTTTATTCTTTTAAAGAAGACTGTGTTGTTTTGTTATTATTCTAAGAGGGAGATAAAGGGGGAACTTACCAGGAACAATCCAGACCGGACAAGCCAGACCTGACTGGTTCATTAAAGGGTTCTAATGAATCATCAACTTGCTTCCAATAAGCTGCAAAGGGAATTTGCGCTCCTGTTTACTCACTAGCGTGAGTGAGGAGGGATAATATCAAAACAATATATCCTCTCCTACCTTCCTTAACAGTCCCACAGCTTTTACGCCTAGTCTCCTCTGCACACTTTCGCTGGGGTGCAAAGGTTTGGGGCTGCTGCCAGAGCCATTGGTTGCGCTGGGGCATTTCGCCCCCAGTAAGAGTTAATGCCCCATGCGATGCTGCTAACTTCCGAGTTCTGCATCCTGCTCAGCACGGAGTACCAGAAAACCTCGGAGACGATATGCCCTAACAACTGAGGGAGGGAAGAAGAAGCGTCTTACAGAGCGATTTTCGGCGAAGTTAGCACCGTTTGTGGAGCTTATAAAGGGGCTTCGTGGGAAAGGCTGTAGCTGAGTGTCAGAGCATCACCAACCCTGGAGAACGGCTGCCAGTCAGTGTAGACAGTACTGAGGCAGATGGACCAATGAGTGTGAGTCCATGGGAGGCAGCTTCCTGTTCGCGTATGTATGTCACACTCGGGCAAACTGGAACAGGACCGCCTTCTTATGGAGCGCAAACGCTTTTCCTGCCCCGGGAATGCGCCAATCCACCGGAACTTCTTCCACAGTAAATCTGTTGGCCTTTAACGTCCCACTGGGCGGCTCTTCGCTTGCTTTTGGTGCAACAGAATCACGCTGGCACCCTTCTGCAAGCTGGGGCGCTCATCCTGGAGATGGGAGGGGGAATCCTTCCCAAGCCAGGATGCCGCGCATATTTGTGCAGGCTCCAGACAGCCCCCGAGGGGAAACGTGGGCGGAGAACCAACCGCTTTGCAGCAGGCTCAAGCGGCGCTGTTTCACCTGGCCGGTCCACATCCGTTCCCAATGTTCAAGGGTCTTATGTTGTCCGACGTTCGCCCTATGCAGAGTAGACCCATTAAAACTGAAGGACTCGACTAACTTGGGTGTATTCACTTTAATGGGTCTACCCTGAGTGCAACTTGAGGGGGCGAAGAAGCTCCCCGCACTTAGAAGAGAAGCATGCTGGATGAAAGGCGAGGCAGAATCCTTCTCCTTGGTCTGCTGGATTTCTGCCTGCAAGGGTTTTGAATTCATTGCACCGCGGAGAAGCCGCCACCAGCAGCCCGAGGCGGGGTAGCCTGGGCCCTGGGAGCGGGACTTGTGCATGTGGGACCTGATCCGAAGCTGCTGAATCTCGGGAGCAGCGTGCATCCTCGGAAGAAGTAGAGGAGGGGGGTGGTACCCACGTGGGCGAAGGTCGGCCTATTAAGAGTTCCTCAGGCTGCTTTCACTTTCCTCTTTTTGCCCCTAGAATTGTATTTTTTTTTTATGGGGGGGAGGGAGGGGAGACATCCAAAGCTCAGACAGAGAGGAAAAAATCCAGCCCTGCTAGAAGCGAAAATATTTGGATTTATAAGTTTAAGCAGATGTTTGCCACTCCCTCTTCCGAAGAAAGCCACACTGAAGTCAAAGGGATTTAAGTGTCCTTTTTGGCACCGTTGCGCTTTTCTTCTCTGTGACCTGCATCTACATTTCCGGTGCCCCTAAAATACCACGAAGCTGTAACAAGGGAACGGGGTGAGAAGAAACAATGAAACACACAATTGGAACATTTGCAAAGCTAAACTGGGCGCTCCCCGTATGGTTTCAGATTGGATGTGTGGAGTTGCCTGCATTGCGGGGGGTTGGACTAAGATGACCCGGGGGGGACCAACTCTGAATGGAGACGAGAGAGAGCGTGAGAGCAGTGTATTGGTCTGTGGGGTGGGGAATACTTTTCCGTAGGACCAACCAAAACATAGTTATGAGCAAGCTTCTGGATCTCCCAGAGCTCTTCTGTGAAGAAGTGGCGTGGGGGACTCGGAACTTTGCTCTCCATCATCTTTGGATGTAATAGTTGTTGGTCCTACAGCAACCTTACTCCCCACCGCCAAAAAAAATGATCCAACGCGGCTTCCTTTCATTTCCAGTTTATCCACTTCTAACAAACAACTTCTCTCTATGTTGTGCATTAAGGAACAACATAGGAAGGCCCTTGGTTCACCTCGCGCTCTATACAGTGGTACCTCGGGTTACATACGCTTCAGGTTACAGTCGCTTCAGGTTACAGACTCCGCTAACCCAGAAATAGTACCTTGGGTTAAGAACTTTGCTTCAGGATGAGAACAGAAATTTTCCTCCGGCAGCGCGGCAGCAGCGGGAGGCTCCATTAGCTACAGTGGTGCTTCAGGTTAAGAACAGTTTCAGGTTAAGAACGGACCTCCAGAACGAATTAAGTTCTTAACCCGAGGTACCACTGTAGTCTACACCAGGCTTCCTCAACCTCGCCCTCCAGATGTTTTGAGACTACATTTCCCATCATCCCTGACCACTGGTCCTGCTAGGGATCATGGGAATTGTGGGCCAAAAACATCTGGAGGACCGAGGTTGAGGAAGCCTGGTCTACACGCCCGGCTGCGGCTCTCCAAAACCCCCGACGGGTGCGCCTTCCTACCATCCCTTTTTCTGCAGTAGAGCATAAGACTCCATCTCAGGGCCATCGTGGGTTTGAGCCCCACGTCGGTCGAAACATTCCTGCATTGCAGGGGAGGGACTAGATGACCCACGTGGTCCCTGCCAACTCTGCATGCAACTCTGTGAAATCTACCCCTGCCCCCTTAAACCGGAGATTGAATCAGAGCACTCACTGGCCTACTAAGCTGCGCACGCCCTCCATGCGCTTCCAGTAGCATGTTTACGACAGCCAGACAAGGGCTGCGCGCACACACGCCACGCGTTTAAAGCGCACAGCTCCCCCGCTCCCCAAAGGACCATGGGAACTGTAGCTTAAGGGTGCTGTGACTCGAAGCCCTGTGGCGGGTAAACTATACTTCCCACGATTTCTCGTGTGTGTGTGTGATGTAATCTGCTTCAGATGTATGGTGCGTAACCAGCCGAGGAGAGCATTTTATAATGCTACCCAAAGTCCCACGGGTTTTAAGCGCTCGGAACTGCCTCTTCTGACGAATCTTTCTTCTGATCCTCCTAACCTGTTCTTAGGGCATTGCCAGCCTAACTAACCAACATTACCCTGACAGGCTGGCGACGCTTACCCAAACCTTTGTCGCAACACAGGCGCTTGGATTTAAACTCATCTCTAAGCCCGCCACTAACGCCACTTTCTTTCCGAGAGAAGGGACGGGCTTCAAAGACTGAATGAATTTGTTATTTCGGTCCCAGACCAGTTCCCGCCCACAAACAATATCAAGGAAGTCATACAACACGATAGGGAAACATTTGAATTTGCAATTAGGTATAATTAGGTATTGCAGGCGCAATTAGTTTTGTCTTACACGGGCTGAAAGGTTTTCTCCCCGGTTCCATTGAGACTTGCATTTGCTGCCTAGGTTGTGCGTAACCACCTTCCAAACACCAGGGTGAGGAGCGCAGGTGAAGCTGCCTGGCAGAGTCACGCCAGGAAAAGGCCAACTGTCCATTTACCCCAGAACTGCTTAGTACAGTGGTACCTCGGGTTATATACGCTTCAGGTTACATACGACTCTGCTAACCCAGAAATAGTGCTTCAGGTTAAGAACTTTGCTTCAGGATGAGAACAGAAATCGTGCTCCGGCCGCGCAGCAGCAGCGGGAGGCCCCATTAGCTAAAGTGGTGCTTCAGGTTAAGAACAGTTTCAGGTTAAGTACGGACCTGCGGAACGAATTAAGTACTTAACCCGAGGTACCACTGTATGTTTGACAGGCAGCGGCTCTCCAGGTAGCTGGGCCTTCAAATAAAAGGATCCAACAACCGCTCGCACAGCGTGTGCGCTACAGCTAGGCTCCTTGGTAGACCATCCGCTTTGCAGGCCTCTGCAGGTGGAGGAGAGACCCCGCTGCAGGTCTAAAATCCCGGAGAGCAGCTGTCAGTCGGTGTAGGGACGATGCTGAGCTAGGTGGCCCGATGATCTGACTCGCTATGAGGCGGCTGCAGCGCAGCCGCTTCTAATCCGTGGATCGTTAGGGCAGCGCCCAGTCGGGTCAGATGTGTTGGTTTGTTTTGTTTTCCCACGTACCTCGCCATCCACCGGGTGCAGGCAGGATCAGAAGAAACGTTTTTCTGTAACTGGCTCATCATCTGCGCTGTCCTTTCCTTCCCTAATCCAGGAGGATGTTCCCCACCTTCCAGGTGAAGATTTTTGGGATGGACCCTATGGCAGACTACATGCTCTTGATGGACTTCGTACCGGTGGACGACAAGCGATACCGGCAAGTACTTCTTTCCGCCCATCTTCCCGGGTTGGAAGCAAAGATTCTCATTAAGGGAGCCCAAATCGGCGCTCAGCAAACTTTGGAGTCCCGCGCAGCTCTGGGAGACTAGGGAGCGCTTGTTCAGCGCTTTGCACTAAGCGGTTTACAAGTATATAAATAAACCCCAGACTCCCAAACTCCGCCGACTTTGGAGTGAGCCCCGTCGAATTCAGTTAGGACTCGCTTCTAAATGGATATGGTGGTGAGGATGGTGTTGCAAGGTCATTTGGGGGCAGAGTTGTGGGGCTGGAGTCGCCAATGGTTCTTTTGGGGTTTGCTAGTGTTCAAGCTGTAGGATGTCGTGTTTTCACGTTCTCTTAAAATCAAAGTCTAAGGGGCGATTGAAAATATTAGGAACCAATGCAAAACAAACAAAAACCTTTTTTTTTTTAAATCCCAAAACTGAGTTCGATATAAGCACTCATAAATCCCAGATCAGGACAGTTTATTTATTTATCTAATGGATTCTCATTTGTATGGCTTTATTCCCTTATATAAACCAACCCACGAGGGAGCTCAAAAGTTGTAAATTCACCATTTCTCCATGCATCATGTTCTAGAATTCTTGCCCTTCCCTGGAGACGGGAAAGTAACTTTTCCGTCGTGCAGCCCGATGCAGGCTTACTCTTCCCAGCTAAAGTGTCCCAAAGCCTACCACAGCCCGGCCCTACCCATCTTTACTCACGAGCAAGTCCCATTTATATTACTTGGGCTTTACTTCCAAGATAATTCACGCTTATAATTGCAACATTGAAAGTAGAAGTTGAAACACACACACACACCCCACCCCTCTTTTGGACTGCCGCTCCGCTCGAGCATATCGTTTCAGCGACACTGACACGCCTGGGCGCATTCCGACGTGCAAACACTTTCTTGCGTGCCAATGCCGTGGGAATGTGGGGAGCGGTGGCTCAGATGAGGGATAAGTCGCGCGGGAGGGGAGAGAGGGGAAAACGCTCCCCACGGGATCTCTTAGCTCGGCAGAACCGGCAGCTTTGAGCCCTGCCATTCCAATGCGCAGGAATGCCAAGCCCGGATGGCGATTACATCCCAATTTTACTGCCTCTTTTATCGTGTTTTCGCTCCGAGGCCTCGGCAATTTGTCAGCGATTATCTCCAATTTTGTACTCGGTAAAAGAATCCGCCTCACGGCCATCCTTCCAAACGGGTTCGGTCGGTGGAAGTCGATTTCTGGCTTGCAGGCCCTTAGGAATCGTGGGTGGGATCATCGGGTTGACTGAGAACCAACCCACCCCCCTCCGCCCGACCCATCCACCCCCAAACTCGGGAGAATTTAATTGGCCACAATCTGTTGTCTGCTACAACACTCCTATGCGTGTTTATTCTGTAGGTTCTGCTACGTTTAGGATCCTGCAGTCGTCTGTTGCAATTGCTGCGTACATCAGTCAGGAAGGAAGCAACAGCCAGCTGAAAGGGAACTGGGTGTAGAGTCTGGGATCCTGTAGGCAGCTACTGAGGAGTAAGCCCCATAGAGCGCAGGACTTTGGAGCAGGGCCCCATCTATCAGAATCTGGTGTCCCATATTTCAAAGGAAGAAAACCATCACCATTATCATTTTATTATTTATTAATAGTTAATGTACATATATGGTACATTTCTAGTCGCTCTCCATCTTTGCACAGTTTAATCCTGGTGTCCCGAAACTAGCACCCTTGTAAGCACCTAGTCTTCTGAGTCAGATAATAATAATGATAATAATAATCCACTTAAAGTCGTGCTAGGCTTCTCAGCAGTTCATAAGAACCAATGACATAAGCAATGAAAACAAACGAACACCCATAATTAAAACACACTAAATAACAATCCCATTAAAAACACACCTTACCATTGCCAACATGGTGTCCTGCATATTTTTTGGACTACATTTCCCATCATCTCTGACAACTGGCCATACTGGCTTGGGCTGCTGGGGGCAGGAGTGCAACAATATCTGCAAGGCACCTACACTGACTACTTGCCATCGAAAGAGGTGTGTCCTCGTAAGACAATGTCTAAAGTGATCTAAGTTCGCCACTGTCACTGACATGTTGACGAGAGCAGTAGAAGGGACACATAAGAATGTGAAGTGGGGGAAACAGGGGAGATTCATTTTAGGCAACAATAACCTCTATCTCAGAGGTCAGCCAGTGTGGTGTAGTGGTTAAGAGCGGTAGTCTCGTAATCTGGGGAACTGGGTTCGCGTCTCCGCTCCTCCAAATGCAGCTGCTGGGTGACCTTGGGCCAGTCACACTTCTCTGAAGTCTCTCAGCCCCACTCACTTCACAGAGTGTTTGTTGTGGGGGAGGAAGGGAAAGGAGAATGTTAGCCGCTTTGAGACTTCTTAAAGGGAGTGAAAGGTGGGATATCAAATCCAAACGCTGCTGCTGCTTCTTCTTCTTCTTCTTCTTCTTCTTCTTCTTCTTCTTCTTCTTCTTCTTCTTTCAGTAGGGGGCTGGTCCACTGTCCCTCAGACCTTGTGGGGGACCAGACTATATTTTGAAGAAGAAGAAATGAACAAATTCCTATGCCCCACAAATAATCCAGAGATGCATTTTAAATAAAAGCATGCATTCTACTCATGTAAAAACACCAGGCAGGCCCCACAAATAACCCAGAGGTACATTAAATAAAAGGACACATTCTACTCATGTAAAAACACGCTAATTCCTGGACCATCTGCGGGCCGGATTTAGAAGGCATTTGGGCAAGATCCGGCCCCTGGGCCTTAGTTTGCCTACCCATGCTCTATCTGTTCCCCAGTGCAAGGATACATCCTCCCTCCCCTTTTTCTTCCTCTGGGGAGCTGCTTAGGGAACAGCTCAGTGCTTTGCAGCCAGGAGGTCCCCAGTTCAGTCCCCGTTATCTCTAGATGGGGCTGGGAGAGACTCCCTGTCCATTCCAGTGTGGCATAGTGGTTAGAGTGTTAGACTAGGACCGGGAGGTAAAGGTAAAGGGACCCCTGACCATTAGGTCCAGTCGTGGCCGACTCTGGGGTTGCGGTGCTCGTCTCGCTTTATTGGCCGAGGGAGCTGGCGTACAGCTTCCGGGTCATGTGGCCAGCATGACTAAGCCGCTTCTGGCGAACCAAAGCAGCGCACGGAAACACAGTTTACCTTCCCGCTGGAGCAGTACCTATTTATCTACTTGCACTTTGATGTGCTTTCGAACTGCTAGGTTGGCAGGAGCAGGGACCAAACAACAGGAGCTCACCCCGTCGCGGGCATTCAAACCGCCGACCTTCTGATTGGCAAGTCCTAAGCTCTGTGGTTTAACCCACAGCGCCACTCACTTGGATATGAAGCTGACTGGGTAATCTCTGCCTCTCAGCCTAACCTACCTCATAGGGCTGTTGTGAAGATTAAGGAAGGAGGGAGATAACCACATGTGCCAGCTCCTTGGAGGAAAATAAAAAGACAAATAAATAATAACCCAGGAGAACCACTGCCAAGACTGATGTTCTGACTTAATATAAGCCAGCTTACTATATTCCCCACCTTCACACCCATCCTCCCCCTGTTATAGGCTTTGACTCCCCCCCCCCATGCCTAGGGTTTTCAAAGACCCAGTGAAAGGAGCATTTATGCATTTTGCTCCAGGTCCGAGGCGCCTGGCAGAAAAACAAAAAAACCTGCTCCTATGAAATCCCGATGCCAAAGATGTAAATATTTAGACAGATCTCCAGCTTCCCAGGGCATTTCAGAAATGTTTGCTTGTCAAAGGCAACGGGATATAGAACATCTAATTGAGGATATCTCTCTTTTTTCTCCCTTTCTCTCCCCCCCACCCTCTCCTTCCCCTCCATTTTTTTTGGCAAGTGATGGTTCTGCTCAACTCCGAGGCGAGAAGATTCTCCCTCTGAGCCAAAGCAGACTTTTAAATAAACAATCACAAAAAGAGAATGGCACTCTCTTGGCACTCTCTTGAATCAATGTGGACTTTGGGGAATTAAAAACACACACCGAAAGAACAAATCGGTGGCAGGTTTTGCTGGAAACCTGCTTTCAGACTGCACTGATTTGAGAGAAGTTTCCACTGAACTCAGTGGGCCTTACTTCTGAGTAGACATGCATAGGTGTCAACATATTTAACTGTCCCGATGACATTTAAACCAATTACTGCTTCAACATGCTTCTCTCTTGATTCGGGCGAGGCATGCCAAATGATTCTCTATCTTTTTTTAATAGAAAGATCACCTTTGCTGAGATGGGTTGGTGCTGATTTCAGCATTAGATAGATATTTTCGAGGCAGAATGCCTGTAAATATCAGCTGCAGGGAATCATAAGTAGAGAGAGTTCCTGGGACATTCGGTTCCTCTTTGCATTTGGTTCTCCAATGTAAGGACAGGATGCCGGACAACATAGGCCTTTGGCCTGTCCTAGCAGGGCTCTTGTTATATTCCTACTATATCTTCATTGGGCCCTACTGACTCAGTGGCCTAGGAAGGACGCTGGTGGTGCTGTGGGTTAAACCAAAGGGCCTAGGACTTGCCGATCAGAAGGTTGGCGGTTCAAATCCCCGCGACGGGGTGAGCTCCGGGGTGAGCTCCCGTTGCTTGGTCCCTGCTCCTGCCAACCTAGCAGTTCAAAAGCACGTCAAAGTGCAAGTAGATAAATAGGCACCGCTCCGGCAGGAAGGTAAACGGCGTTTCCGTGCGCTGCTCTGGTTCTCCAGAAGCAGCTTAGTCATGCTGGCCACATGACCCGGAAGCTGTACGCCGGCTCCCTCAGCCAATAAAGCGAGATGAGCGCTGCAACCCCAGAGTCGGCCACGACTGGACCTCTAATGGTCAGGGGTCCCTTTACCTTTACCTAGCAGGGCTGTTGTTATATTCCTACCATATCTCTATTGGGCCCTAATGACTCAGTGGCCTAGGTGTCCAGAGATCCCTTTAGCTTGAACCAGCCGGACTCTTCTAATGTTCTTAACTTCCTAAGCATCTGATCAGCTGTTCCCACCAACTTATAGACCTCATACTAAAATATTACAGCTTCTTTGCAAGCTAGTGGTTGAGAAGCTACAAGAGCAGAAAGTGAAGTTGTTCCCATCACACAGAAGGAAAAGCAAAGCCTGACACACCCACACGTTAAAGTTCAGAAATGAAAGGCCCTTTCTGGAAGACATCCACTCTGACTTTGGAGCTCTTTTCTCTCATCCCAGATGTCCATGCACTGCTTTTGTTTACTCTGTGGTGAAAGGAACTCTCTGCCCATGGTCAGCGGCACCCTCTAGTTACTGTCATTTTGCATCTTTCAAGGCGACGTGCTGGCAATGAGAACAAATTCCTTGGCTGAGCAGTGGCTCAAATGCCGCCCGGCCTCTGGCTGTGGTAGGTCTCTTTGTCTCGCTTCCAAGTTCCTTTGCCAAGGGCTCCCTAGATTAAAGCTACAGCCCTATACAGATGCAATACTTGACTGTCCCACAATTAGTTTCCTTGTGGGTTAGGCAGAGCAGTCCAAGTTACCACTGCTGCCGCCAGAGCTCTAAATCATGGGAGAGGGATCTCCATGTCTGATATGATAGCCATGTTCAAATATATAAAAGGATGTCACATAGAGGAGGGAGAAAGGTTGTTTTCTGCTGCTCCAGAGAAGCGGACACGGAGCAATGGATCCAAACTACAAGAAAGAAGATTCCACCTAAACATTAGGAAGAACTTCCTGACAGTAAGAGCTGTTCGACAGTGGAATTTGCTGCCAGGGAGTGTGGTGGAGTCTCCTTCTTTGGAGGTCTTTAAGCAGAGGCTTGACAACCATATGTCAGGAGTGCTCTGATGGTGTTTCCTGCTTGGCAGGGGGTTGGACTCGATGGCCCTTGTGGTCTCTTCCAACTCTATGATTCTATGTCTACTGCCCAGCCACAGCCTGATCTGTGTGCTAGCTCTGTGTTGGTGCAGCAATTACTCTTGCATGGAGCCCAGTACTGGCTGGCACTGGCTGGGATCTGGTGGATCTTGGGCCATCTCAGTCCTGCCCCTGCCCTGCCAACAGAGCGCCCCATTTTGGGGCTTTCAGCTCTGGTTGGGAGGTGTTCCTTCTCCCTACTACTGTTGAAATCAAATATACCTACAAGGCTGATATTTTGTCACCTACTCAAAATTTTTATGTTTCACCAAGTGCTTCGTCAGTGCTGACCACTTGTTCTGGATTTTACGATTTTGTTATTTCTTCTTATTTAATTAAAATTTAATACATTTATTTTGCTTTAAACAAATAGAGATAAACAACCAAAATTACAAAAGAAAAATCAATAATAATAATAATAATGGAAAAAGCTAAAAAAACTACAAAAAATATCAGAGTACATGGCATAGAACGTAAGCCATTATGGGAAAGAAAAAAGAAAAAGGAAAGAAGAATGAGGAGGGGAAAAAGGGGGGTGGGGAGAGGAAAATAAGCCCAAACACAAGAAGGCTCATCTATTGTACACTTCCGTCAAGGTCACAACAGATCATTATTCTAATAAATTCTCTCTATCTGCATTCCATACCTCATCTTGGTATCAGGGAACATTTCCCTATTTTATAATTTCTTGTACACCACCACCATTATATATTATATATTTTATATATTATATATTATATATTAGTAGATAGATAGATAGATAGATAGATAGATAGATAGATAGATAGATCAGCAGTTTATAAACGCTATCATAAATTAAACCTCACTACAGTAGATGTGACCTGTGCCCAAATGCAATACTTACCTATTACCTTGAAGTTCTGCTTGTCCCCCACAAGGCTCAAGGCGTGTGGTTTTCCTCCCTGCTCTCCATCTTATCCTCACAATAACCCTTTGAGGTAGGGCTACATTGAGAGAGAAAGAGAGAGAGAGGCTCAAGGTCACCCAGGGAGCTTCACGGCAGAGTGGGGACTTGAACCAGGGTCTTGCCTAGTAGGGTCGAACACCATTGCACCACACTGCCTCACTTTCTAATCATACTGTTAAAAATGGTACACTATTGTTGCGCTAATTAAAAACACCTAAATATTTTTGAAGTCCATTGAGACAGGGTGATGCTGATTTCGACAGAGTAAATAAACAACCCGTTCTTTAAATTGGTTGTTTACTTAACCTATCTGAAGAACAGGATGCTTATTTGATGTATCAAAATCGATGTTTTTACAAGTGTTGAATTCGCTGTTGGCAACGTAGATTCACAAATGTAAAACTTAGCATGGCGGCTAACCCACTGCTGGCTTTTCTCCCCATACAGATATGCATTTCACAGTTCCTCCTGGCTGGTGGCTGGCAAGGCAGACCCTGCAACTCCAGGGAGAGTCCATTATCACCCAGATTCCCCGGCTAGGGGAGCCCAGTGGATGAAACAGATTGTCTCCTTTGATAAACTCAAGCTCACTAACAATTTATTGGATGACAATGGACATGTAAGTGTTGTCTTGGAGAGGGCGAAGCTAACTGGGAAACATTGAACAATATAATAATGGAATGAGTCTTGGGTGTGGGATGGTTCTTGCAGTTGGGTGCTGAGTGGTGCTCTGTATCTGGCACATATCCTGCCAGTACAAGGGGATCTGCAACAGCTGCCTATAAGGCCACTGAGCCAATTTTAAGGTTCTGCTCCTTGCATAAAGGTAAAGGTAAAGGGACTCCTGACCATTAGGTCCAGTCATGACCGACTCTGGGATTGATGCGCTCATCTCACTTTATTGGCCAAGGGAGCTGGCGTACAGCTTCCGGGTCATGTGGCCAGCATGACTAAGCCACTTCTGGCGAACCAGAGCAGTGCACGGAAACGCCGTTTACCTTCCCACTGGAGCGGTACCTATTTATCTACTTGCACTTTGATGTGCTTTCAAACTGCTAGTTTGGCAGGAGCAGGGACCGAGCAACGGGAGCTCACCCCGTCACGGGGATTCAAACCGCCGACCTTCTGATCGACAAGTCCTAGGCTCTGTGGTTTAACCCACAGTGCCACCCGTGTCCCTGCTCCTTGCATACAAAGCCCTAAATGACTCTGGACCAGAAACGCCCCCCCCCCAACACATTTTACCTTCTGCTCCTCAGCAAGTGCACTACAATCAGCTAATAGAACCCAGTTGGTTATCAGCTCATGGTAACACAAAGGTGGGCTTTTCTACTGCTGACACCAGTGTTGTAGAAACCCCTCCCTGATGAAATATGAGAAGCCCCATCAGCATTGGCATTCTGCTGGCCCCTAGAGACACTGCAGTTTCACAAGTCTCCCGCTGAACTGAACTTCTGATTTTATTGTTTACACTGTTTGCTTTTTAAAAAAACCAAAACACACCATTGTCATGCTTTTTAAACTGCTTGTTCGTTGCATATTTTACTTGAAGACATTTTGGTGCCCAAGCAGGTTGCCTTATTTAATTTGCACGAGAACAACTTGCAACCCTGAATGTATTTATTTGAGAGCCCAGGCCCTCCGAAATTACGGCAGACAGAAGCATGGTTCAAAGTGTCCTGGACTTCAGAATGCATAACTTTTTGATGGGGTTGCTTCGTTCTTTAGTGGCACCCATCAAAAAAACTAAGCTAGAAGAGATTGCACACCCTCCAAGCCAGATTAATAAAATGTTTCAATCAAAATCATTGGGATTTACTGACTCAAATAAAGAGGCTGTGTGGTCAAAAGACCTGGTGAGAGAGAGAGAGAGAGAGAGAGAGAGAAGCTAGTACAGGTGTGTAGTACCTATGGTCTAATCACTGCTTCTCAGCCTAGCCTACCTCACAGGGTTGTTGTGGGAGTTAAATGAGGAGGTGGAGAATCATGGGTGCCACCTGGAGCTCCTTGGAAAAAATGTGGAATATTGGCATCCGTTGACACAATGAACAAATAATGTTTAGGTATCCTGGTTCCTAATTGTATAGTGCTTTGTACACCAGCATCATCACCTTGAACTTAACCCAGTAGCTAACTGGCAGCCAGTCAGTTTTCTCAGCAGTGGCATTGATATTTTGCTCCAGATTTCTTTTTTTTCTTTTTTTTTGGGGGGGGGCACAGTGATTTCATAAATAAATCCACCCAAATGATTTACATTGCACACCAGTAGACCTTGTTGAGTCTTTCTGCGGTCCAGATGTCTCCTCAAAGTTAGGGGTGCACAGATTGACCCCCCTCACCCCCAGTCTGCCCCCTCTGTGACATGGTATACTTCAGCTAGGTAATTTGAAACTCTGTATTTAATGGTATTATTGGGGGGGAGGTATGGACTTTTCAGATGGGAATGTGAATTGCTTCACATACTTCAAAATATGGTAAGAAGCCAACTCTGCTGTGCTGGGGGGTGGGTTTCCTATCAAGCAGGGGCCCAGACGTCTGCCCCAAAGCCTTGCCCCCGATTGGCACCGCTGTCAGTATCCTGCGTGGGACCTTCCTTTGCCTTTCTGCTTTCCATCTTGGTGTTGTAGAATGACTCAGTTACGATCTCCCTTGCTCGTTTTATCATCCAGATCATTTTGAACTCCATGCACAGATACCAGCCCCGCTTCCACGTGGTCTACGTGGATCCTAGGAAAGACAGCGAGAAATACGCGGAAGAGAACTATAAGACTTTTGTCTTCGAGGAGACCCGCTTCACCGCAGTGACCGCCTACCAGAACCATCGGGTGAGTATCTGGAGTTCATTATTGAGACACAAACCTTCCGTCCGGTACTTCATTTATCAGCAAAAGAAAGAAAGAAAAGAAAAAGCACCTTTCCCAACCTTCTCTTCGAGCCACATGATGGATGGAGAGCCGGAAAAGAGAAGGCAGGAGAGAGAGAGAGAGAGAGAGAGAGAGAGAGAGACATTGTTAAGAGCAGTCAATCAACTGATATTGGTTTTTTTAAAAAAATCCCACCAGCCACAAAACAACTATCCATAAAGTGTTTTAAGGTGACGTGTCCCCAGTTAAATCAGCTCAGATGTGATGAGACTACGCAGATGGGATCAAACTGGTTGAGATGCAAAAATTGCTTGCAGACTCCTTTGGAAGAAATGTATGAAATGCTTTGCATAAGTTGGGCTCCAAAACCAATCTCCCCCCTCCCCCAAAAAACCCCAAGGAGGCAAACCTAAAAAGGCACTAAAGGAAATTACATTTGCAAGTGCTCTCCAGTTTCTCCTCCTACTATTACTATTGCTACTATTACTGTTACTATTTTAATGTATATACAAAACAGGCCTCTAAGCAGATATTATGCCCAGCACATTTTGAGTATAACAAGCTCTTCATCCAAGGCAGTTAAAATAATTCAGAAATTATTATTCAATCAGTTTCATAAAATGAAGAGGTGTTAACAGTGCCATGCTATATATACACACATGCATACTACTACTAGTAGTACTACTATTACTACTAAAAAACCTTTATTGTCACTACACCACCTGTGTGCAGTGAAATTAAATGAGCCCCCCCCATACACTCAGTCTTGTTCGCACTCAGAAGTACCGTATTTTTCGCTCTATAAGACGCACCAGACCACAAGACGCATCTAGTTTTTGGAGGAGGAAAACAAGAAAAAAAATATTCTGAATCTCAGAAGCCAGAACAGCAAGAAGGATTGCTACGCAGTGAAAGCAGCAATCCCTCTTGCTGTTCTGGCTTCTGGGATAGCTGCGCAGCCTGCATTCGCTCCATAAGACGCACACACATTTCCCCTTATTTTTTAGGAGGGAAAAAGTGAGTCTTATAGAGCAAAAAATACAGTAAGTCTCCTTGAGTTCAGTGGGGCTTACTCCCAGGTAAAGTGGGTAAAAATTATATAACTTGTCACTCTGCCATTTAAAAACATTTCTGTGCCTCTGGGCCTTCCATACTCAGAACTGCCAAACATCAAGGGAGCTTTGTCTGTGGTTTCTGTCGAGTGTGAATTGCCTCTGGAGAAGGAAAATGCAAGGGGGGGGGGGGGACACGTCTACACAACCAATTTTTACCAGCTTCCTATTAATATGTACTAGGCTTCCTATTATTATTGAGTTGTATCCTGCTCAAAGTGGATGCATTGAAATTAATGCACATGACTAACTCACATTTATCCATTTCAGTGGGTCTGCTCTGAGTTATAACTTAGTTGGATGGCAGTTTCTTATTGATTTGTTTAGAAGGTTTTTATATTGTTTAGCTACAGTAATCTCTAAGCAGCATACAAGGGATGCAACACAATGAAAATGGACAGCGGTTAAAACCATACGATCACAAATGGGTGCTAGAATGAAAAAAATCTTCAGGAGGCACTGGAAACTCAACACAGAGGGGGTCCTGTCTGACCTCATCGAGACGGGAGTTGCATAAAATTGGCCGCTCGGTGCTGAATGCACGGCTCCTCGTAGATCCAAACCATGGGTAGGCAAACTAAGGCCCGGGGGCCAGATCCAGCCCAATCGCCTCCTAAATCCGGCCCGCAGACGGTCCGGGAATCAGAGTGTTTTTACATTAGTAGAATGTGTGCTTTTCTTTAAAATGCATCTCTGGGTTATTTGTGGGGCATAGGGATTCGTTCATTCCCACCCCCCAAAATATAGTCCAGCCCCCCACAAGGTCTGAGGGACAGTGGACCGGCCCCCTGCTGAAAAAGTTTGCTGACCCTTGATCCAAACTCTGCATCTGAGCCATGGGGGAGCACTAACAGCGACCCCCCTAAAGACTTCAACAATTGGTTTAGTGGAAGGGCTATGTATTTTGTAAGAAATCTGTGCCCCCTCCCCCAAAAAACTAAAATTCCAAGGGATCCCTAGAGAGAGGAAATGACTATCAAACCACAGTGTAAGTATTCCTTGAGAAAGACATACAGTGGTACCTCGGGTTACATACGCTTCAGGTTACAGATGCTTCAGGTTACAGACTCCGCTAACCCAGTAATAGTACCTCAGGTTAAGAACTTTGCTTCAGGATGAGAACAGAAATCATGTTCCGGCGGCACGGCAGCAGCAGGAGGCCCCATTAGCCAAGTACGGACCTCCGGAACAAATTAAGTACTTAACCCGAGGTACCACTGTATTCAGAAGGAGGAACAGGGGCAGCTATGCTACAAATAAGCCCTATGACAGGAGTTAAAAGGGGTTGGTTTCCCCCTCCCCCCCTTTTATTTTGTAGAACTAGGGTGTTGCAGGAGGAAGATTTAGGATGAATCAGAAAAAGAGCCCCCACCTTTCTATCCAACAGCAGGTTTCTGTGAATGGAATTTCCTCATGCGTCGTCTGGATCCAACCCACAGTCTATAATCCAATTGGAAATTGTTGTTGTTGTTGTTATATATTTTTTTGTCATCTGCCCTGCACTCAGGTCCCAGGGCTGGTCACAACAATTTAAAATGAAACAATTTAAAAAAATCCTATTCAACACATTCACAAAAATAGGGTGGATCCTTTAAAAAAAAGGCATCTCAGGTGTCAAAGGCCGAGGAAAAGAGGCGATTTGCAGATTAGCAATGTGGATTAAAAGCAAAATGTATATTCCCACCCACTTCAAAGGCAGTCGTGTTTTTGACATAGATCTTGTTGAAGTGACCCAGTAAGCAGTAGCTATGAAAATATGGCCCTAAATAGATTTGTGAAGCAAAAGTGGCTGTTCTAGCACACCTGGAACATTTACTCCCCTTGGCTTGATCCTAAAGCAAATTAAGACGAGAAAGTCCAAATCTAAAATATTGCAGTGGTAAAACTACAATTCGTAAAGCATAAAACAGCACTTGTTTGCTCTGGATCATGGAAAGATGCAGCTAAATCCCTAAAGCCATAATTTGTTAACAAAACAGATTAAAGTCCTAAAGCAAAATGTTCCAGCTTCTTCTGCTGTTCTGGTGGCTTTAAGACTTTGATATCTCTGTTTTTTTAGTCACTGCTAATATAGCTATGGATGCATATTTGTCTTACATGTTTCACGTATGTGTCATGCTCCCTAGATAATCCCATGGCTTTGAATGGAGGTCTTTGGGAAATATGGCAACTGTGAATTGCTGGATTTCAGCTTAGAAGCACACTAGTCCAATTTAGCAGTGATTTAGTAAGAACAGCCGTTAATAACTTCCATCCACAAACCAGTAACAACATAGCACTTGGACCCAACCAGTTCAGACATCTCCCCAGCGCGCTCGCTTAGATGTTGTTTCTGTTGCACACACTGTAAATATTTCTAGTTACAGGTAGGTAGCCGTGTTGGTCTGCCGTAGTCGAAACAAAATACCAAAATTCCTTCCAGTAGCACCTTAGAGACCAACTAAGTTTGTTATTGGTGTACATGCTCATACCAATAACAAACTTAGTTGGTCTCTAAGGTGCTACTGGAAGGAACTGTAAATATTGTTAGGATCAGTGATAACCTCTCTTAAACACAAATCAAGCAAGCTGGTTTTCTGCTGTTCCGGAGAGTAGGACCTGAACCAATGTATTCAAATGGCAAGAGATTGTGACTAAACATTAGGAATAACTTTCTGACGATAAGAGCTGTTTGGCAGTGGAACTGATGGTTGTGACTGATGGTTGTGGACTCTCCTTCACAGGAGGTTGTGATGGCCATCTGCCCAGGGATTCTTTAGCTGTGATTCCTGTGTTGCAGGGGGGTGGACTAGATGCCCCTTGGGGTGCCTTCCAAAATGGCAATACAGTGGTACCTCTGGTTACATACGCTTCAGGTTACAGCCTCCACTAACCCAGAAATAGTGCTTCAGGTTAAGACCTTTGCTTCAGGATGAAAACAGAAATCGTGCTACGGCGGCACGGCGGCAGCAGGAGGCCCCATTAGCTAAAGTGGTGCTTCAGGTTAAGAACAGTTTCAGGTTAAGAACGGACCTCCGGAACGAATTAAGTTCTTAACCCGAGGTACCACTGTACTTTATAGCCCCACCACCAACTCCAAGCTAATTGCACAGACTGTGAGTTGTACCCAACTGTTCTCAGATTAGACTCATGAAAATCAATGGATATAAGTTGGCCATAGCCATGCCTATTATTTGCAATGGGTCAACTCTGGGTAGGATTAGCACTAGATAAGACCCCAGGTCTCTTTCTTGATATTACAGCTCCTGAATTCATAATCTTAAAATCACAACAACAGGAAACAGCTTACACCACTGAGTTTAATAAAACTAGACTGGGAAGAAACTTGAATTTGGGTTTATCAAAGTACTACTATTGAGTCTTTCTACCTATGAGACTGAGGAGCACTTGTAGAGGATTTGCAGCAGCTTCATAATGCCCTGATTCACAGTGTCCCCTTGCAGCGAGGGGAACCATGATAGATGAGAACAGGTTTGAAACTGGATTGTGTTTGCAGTGCAGACAAGCCCATCACCAGAGCTATAGAGAGAAGGATCAGTAATGGACTGTGAGAGCCAGTCCATTGCTTTTTGTTCTACTCAACTTTTTCTACAGGGCTGACAGTCCTCTGGCTGAATAATCTGCATTCAGCTTTTTGAGTCTCAAAGCAAGTTGCGTAGACTGCCTAGGGAGTTGCCCTCCTCCTCTTTCTGCTGCAGCAGTTCATCTGCTAAGCCCGTCCCTTGGTTTCTGAAGGAATTTGATCACCCTGGGAGGCCTTGAAGTATTATCTCCCCCCCCCCAAGAAGCTGGCAAGGGTTCCATGTTTTGCCTTAAAGAAAACCTCCCACAAAAATGTCCTGAACATCAGTGAGACATCACAGCTTGTATAAACCCAAGCCTCAAGCACTGTCTGAGGTACTGCAGGAAACGCACCACCAAGGTGGTACAAATACAGTACATAAAAATTGGTAAGCCGAAAAACTCCTCTTGGGGGAGGTCTCTGTTTTATCTGGACTTGCTCTGCTGAACCATAGAACTCAATATGGCATAAAACATGAGTTGCCTTTCTGAAGTACAGACTAGAATATCGATTCTGGGGTTTCTTGTGCGTGAGATTTGTTTTTTATATAAATACCAACTTCCTTGCCAAAATAAATATTGATGTGGTCCATAAGCCGTTGGTTTAACTGATAATCAGCCAATGAACACATTAACCACCTCAAAGGTACCTTGAATCTGAGAATCCATTTTAAATGGTCATCCCATTCCAACCATTAATGGATTAGCTGCCTGTATTGCTTAGTTAGGAGGAGAAACTCAAGCTTCACCCATTTTCCCTATATGGAAGCGTTTTCTTTGTAAAGAAATCAGGATGTGTAAAACAGTATCAAGACAGTTGGGCTGAATATCTACTCTTTGTCACTGCAGCATCGCACAAGGTTACAACTGATGACACACAGTGTCCCCATGAATCCTGCACATCAACACTTTGCTGACAATCCTAAAGCGTGCTTGCCTGGGAGCAAGCCCTACTGAACACAGTGGGGCTTACTTCTGAGCAAACCTGCAGAGGATTGCTCTGTTGTGCTGCAATCCCATACATATGAACCTTGGGGGCAAGCCTCACAGAACTTGGTGAATCTTACTACTGAGCAGGCGTGTACAGGACCACACAGCTGGAAGTCCCTCTGAATCCGTGGGTCCAATCTGATCTGCAAATGCAACAATTTGCCTGTGTGTGTGTGTGTGTGTGTGTGTGTGTGTGTAAACCTGTATTGCTGCTGATAGTCTTTTTGTTTATGACTCGATTCTAAGAAACAAGAGTAGTATTATTCATACTGCTAAAGAATATGGAACTCTGGGCCTGTAATTTTTCATTTCCCCCACTAAAAATAATAAGATCAGAAGTGAAGCAGGCGGGGGGTGGGAAGAGGGGGAGAGGTTCCGCAATTGCTGTTCTGACAACATCTGAAAATAACCTTCATGGGAGCCAAGTGCGGTGCCTTTAAGAGACTTCTCTGCCCCCCACCTCCCGACTGGCATTTATCTGATGGCTTGGGACAGCTGCTCCTTCTCTTCTGCTTTCTATCAGTTTGACCTCTAAGGCTGGAACTGTCACTGAGGGGCTTAAAGTTTGTTTTTCAACCCATTCCGGAAACTCACAATCACATACTTTATCCTTGGATTCGCTTAAATATGGGGGGTGGGTGGAAGGGGGGGGGGAGAGAATGCCCTGTCTTTCTCCCTGGTGAATGAAACAAATACAGAATTGGTCTTGTGGTGATGGGATGGTTTGGCAGAGGAGGGAGGTGGGGGGAGGCATATGAAGTGACGTCTTCTTTCAAGTTTATTTGCATTTCAGACAGATCAATGTATGTTGGGGGTGGGGGTGGCTCTGCCTTTCCCTGGTGCCCCAAATTAGCGTTAGCACAGAGTACAATTTTGCATTTGGGAGCAGCCATGTGGTTGAACGTCCAAGGCATAGAGGGAGAGAGAGAATTTGCCTGTAACCATTTTCGAAACATCCCTGGTGCCACGACCAAAAAGGGGACCCAGTATTAAGGATGGGGGAGAAATGTGATTCGGTTCACATTAATTATGACACGCACACACAAGAAAAATGAATCAAGTACGTATAGCTCAGAAGAATATATTACAATAAGAAAACAAGGATTTATTGCAACACATGACAGAATCTGATTCCCTTGCATTATTTCGATCTGTGTTTGTATGATACTCCATATTTCTGCTGCGGTTGTTCTTCCTTCCTTCCTTCCTTCTTCTTCTACCTCATGTCAAATTCTTTTTTTAAAAAGAAACAACAACTCATTTTTTCCTGTGTTCCTGCTTTGCTGGTGCCCATATCACATGCATAGACTGCTTATTGGGTAATCCAGCACTGTACATTCCCCTCCCAATCCTGGACAGGCGGACAGACAGACAGACACACACACACACACACACACACACACACACACACCACAGACATGCTGTACTTGGTGTGCTGTACATCTCTAGGCTGCAGCAATACAGCCATAACTAAAAGTGTTTAAATCCCATTAGTTGGAGCAAGATGCATATGTGCTCAACTCTCTGGCATGAAACCCAATGTGGATTTCAAGTGCTTAATGTGCCCTGTGCATACCTGACTGGGGTGGATCCTATTCAGTGTTCTCTCTTAAAAGGTACAAAAATCTTTTATTTATTTATAAGAAGGAAAACCATGCTATGATCAAAATGTGCTCAGAATAAAGGGAGCTGCAAATAAACGAACCCTATGTACTTTCTGAGTGTTAGTTCTTTGAGCAGGTTTTGTGCCCAGCATTCAGCCAGTTTCACTGAGGGAGCTGACAGTGGCTCATAAATAGCTTTGCATACAGAAGGTCCCCGGGTCAATTCCTTGCATATTCAGTGTAAAACAGAAGTGGGGAACCTATGATCCTACTGAGGATGCTGGTATGGACTACAACTCCCATCATCCCTGATCATTGACCATGCTAGATTGGGCTGATGGAAACTGGAGTCCAACATGTTCTTCATCATTGACTTTATGGTGTGGCATGCTTTGGAACAATTGATATAGGATAAAACAGAGCAACTTGCCCTCTTGAGGGCCTGGGGATTCCACCCTCTTGGTTAGTGTGACATTGTTGTTCCTTAATGGCCCTTGACGTCTTTACTTTCCTTGAACCTCTCTCTTCAGATAACCCAGCTAAAGATTGCCAGCAACCCTTTTGCAAAAGGATTCCGGGACTGTGATCCAGAAGACTGGTAAGGATGTTTTTCTTCCCTTCCTCTGCTAAGGTCCAGGTTCATCCTAGGTTTGGATTCAAACATGTCCCTGGTGTAGAGAGCAAGGGAAGATGGAGCTGGAGTCCATTTGGGGCGCTACCTCAACTTCAAGGGAAATCGGGGGTGCTGAGATTTGGGAAGCCTTATTTAGATTGTGTCTTGGAGAATTGGGTTGGTTGCTTGGCTGGCTGGCTGGCTGGCTGGATTGATTATTCACATAACGTCTTGCTGTGTATTCATTATTCAGAGCCCATTATTCCTTTGAAAAGTCTAAACTCTGTCCACTCTTTTCCCACATTAGGCCCAGGAATCACCGGCCTGGAGCCCTGCCTCTCATGAGTGCTTTTGCCAGATCTAGAAATCCAGTATCTTCCCCTGTGCACCAGAATGGGACCGAGAAAGGTGAGTCTTCGTCACAATGGTAGGAAACCTCCTGCATTCAGGGCAGCTGTGGCTTGTTATGGTAGATTTAAAAACTCAACCTAAGAACAGAGAAGGTCCATAGCTGAGTAGCAGGCTGACAGCTTTGTATGCAGAAGGTCCAACCAGGTAGATCTGGGAGCATCCACCTCACAGGAGCACAGGAAGCTGCCTTACAATGAGCCAAACCATTGGTCCATCGAGCTCAGAATTAATACACTGCCTGGCAGTGGGTCTCTCCCAGCCCTACCTAGAGATGCAATGGATTGAGTCTGGGACAGGTCAGACTATTTGTCCATCTAGATGAGAGACAAGCTGTGAAGCTTTGTGTATTCAGCAAATATGATGTCCAACACTGAACAGTGATTCCGGATATTGACTATTGTTTCGTAGAATTCACAGCTTGTCTTTCATCATACAAAGTCTGGTACCTCGCTTAATTTAAAGATTTTCAGAGACTTTGAGACTAAAGGTTTCATTTTGTACTTGTTATGGTTTGAAGGAATTCTATAAAGATTATCTATTGCATATGCACATGGTCATCGTGTTGCCTAGACATTGCTGACCCCCGCAGACATGGCACCCGGGGCACACCGCCCTATCCCCCACCCCCGTTGCAACGCCACTGGCTCCATCACTGAGCTTTGGCCCTTCCCCAGATTCCCAACTGCCCACAGCAGAGGCAAATGTGCGCCCCTACATGGAGAAGAGTTTGGATTTGATACCCCGTGAAATATACTCAGAGTCGCAAAGTGATTTCATGCTCTTTATTCAGCTCATAGTGGTGAGGAGGAATGAAATCACTTTGCGACTCTGAGTATATTTCACTGGCGACGAAGGTGGGATGCACATGATTGGCTAATTCTGGAATTCTACTGTAAGCCAATCAGGTTGTGGATTCACTTCTATCTGGAGCAGGATTGGGTGGTTCCTGCCAACCAATCATACTGCTGCATTGTTCTAGGACCAATCAGACTGCTGCATTCTGAATCCTATTGTTCTAGGACCAATCAGACTGCTGCCTTTTGGATCCTATTGTTCTAGGACCAATCAGACTGCTACAGTTTGGATCCTATTCAACTCAGTACATAACACCCCGCTTTATCACTACCCGAAGGAGTCTCAAAGCGACTAACCGTCTCCTTTCCCTTCCTCCCCCACAACAAACACTCTGTGAGGTGAGTGGGGCTGAGAGACTTCAGAGAAGTGTGACTAGCCCAAGGTCACCCAGCAGCTGCATGTGGAGGAGCGGGGAAGAGAACCCGGTTCTCCAGATTACGAATCTACCGCTCTTAACCACTACACCACACTGGCTCTACAGTCAATACAGTCAATACAGCCAATACAGTCAAAAGCCAGTGTACAGACTGGCCCCAGAGAGGCTAGGGATTAAACCTGGCATCTTCTGCAGGCAAAGCATATGCTCTTCCTCTGAGCTGTGACCCTTCCCCACATGGAAAAAGAGGATATCTCACTCTTCCTAATGATAGGGCCAATAATGGGTAAATGTGGGAAGAGTCGTTCAAGCGCCACAAGTCACTTCGTTGGAACAAGGGACAGCCTTAGTAAGAGTTAGGGATTCCACCCTCCACACGAAGCTCTAAGTGTGCGCTTGGCTTTAAGTGGTGTGATGCAAAGGAGCCTTAAATTAGATGTGATTAGCAGCCAGATCCACTGACTAGTCGAGGCACAGTGCCTGGAGATTTGCCAGTCTGGTTTATAGTCTTACAAGAAAAACATCTTGCTCACAAAAGAGAAAGCGTCTGAGTTACTAGCAGAGCTGCAGCGGGAGGAAGCTTCTACTTCTTTATTTCCCTTCTGCAAGCTGATCTGGTTATTCTTCTGGGGTTTTGCTGCTAATGCCCACGGCTGCAGAAACCACCCCAAGCACTTACTTGCTCAGGTGGCAAACTTCACAATAGGCTGTTTATCCTATTTAAGCAAGTGGGGCTCACTGCCTCTTCCTCAATCCAGTAGTTTCTATCCAGTGGCCTCAATGCGCCTGAGAAAAACAGGTTTCCACAAGCAAAGCTTTCTGTATTAGGTGCACAGAATTCTTCTGCTCTGCAGGGATGAGAGACCACTATCAAAAAATGCTGTAAAGGGGAACCAGGCTCCTGAGCAGGAGGTGAATGAATCTGGATCACACCCTCCCTCCACCTGCCTTCTGGAGTCCCATTCCAAATTGCCCTCCCTCACTCCAGCCTCTGCGATTTACGCTTTAAAAGCCAGCCACAGAGTTGCCAATTGCATGGAGGGCCTCGTGCATTTAGTTTGAGCCTTTGGGGAGAATGACTCAAAGACCTGCTGAATTGCAATTTAAAGGGGGAGGTCTGGGAGGGCACCCGAACACATAACCCATACGGCCCCGGGATTCTAGTGGTTGATATATTGTCCCTGTGTGCCTGAGCAAAACATTTCAGAGTTCCCTTTAAGTACAGAACTATGGAATGCCCTGCAAACAGAGACTCTGCAGGCACCTTCAAATGCCTACAAATAACCTTTTTGCTATTCCACCTTAGACTTATGCAGACAGTTAAGAGCACATCTTAATTCCATGATAGTTAGCTGAATGATAGTTGGTCTCTAATTTTAAATTTGTTGTGCATTTTCATTATACATAGATATCATCGTAAACTGCTTTGAGGTTTTCTTATGATATAATAAATAATGTCAACGATCCTATCAATTTCAGACAGAGTCCAGAGGGTGGGGTATTGTGGTTTTTTAAATATTTATATCGGGAATGATGAATACTTTAATCTGGAGCCAATTGCGACTGTGTTATTTGCACCGTGTAAGGCCTTAACAGGGCAATCCAAGGAACGGCAGTTCAGAAGTCTGGGATTTTCATTTACCTGGGGGCAAATCCCACTGAACCCGATAAAGCTTACTTCTGAGTAGGCATGTACAGGATACAGTGCAACTATCTGAATTTGGGTGGATTTGATTTTGGCTATTAATTAGTATTTTTTTTAAAAAAAATGTGCATAGAGCAAATTTGTTGGTTTGATATTATTATTTATTAGATGCATGTAACCACCCATTGATAAATGTTCCCTGCGTAGTTGACAAAGAAAATAATGTCAACAGTTTTATGTAAAGGATTAGTGCAATGCCATCATTATTTTCATAAACCTACAATGATGCCCGAAGAAACAATTGTTCATTCAAAAACGAGAATCTGAAGTTTGATTGAACCAAATCACATATTTTAACAACATGTCATATATATTCTCGAATACAAAGCAAAAAAGTTAGTATTATGTCATCAAATGACAAACACAGCAAAACCAAATCTAATCAAAACTTAACATCTAACAATATAAATATTTAATGGTAAAGTATAAACACATATTTAATTGTGAAACTGAAGGATGTTGCTCAAAGGCAGACTCTGTTTCCGTGCAGACTATACATGTATACTCCAAATAAAGCCCATTGAATTCAATGGAATATTATCAGATAAGTATGCATAGAAGTGCATAAGCAACTCAACTAATGGCAAGGAGACTCGTGGCATGTTAAAGAGGAACAGAAGTCGTTATGGCATTAACTTTCATGGGCTAGAGTCTACTTCATTGGATGCAGGTGAAAATATATGTCTGTTTGTCCGTATACATAAACACATACTGTCCTGCATCCAATATATAAAGATAAGAACATTTACTGGCATCTATTGATTTTTGGCCCCTCCAATTTTATTTCTTAAATTTGCAGACCAATCCTATGTGTGTGTACCCACAAGTAAGTCCTTCTGTGTTCAATGGGACCTACTTCCAAGTAAGTATCTACAGCTTGCAGCTGTGCAACCTGATTCTATGCATATTTTACTCAGAATTAAGTCCCATTATACTTAGTGGAAGGGACGCGGGTGGCACTGTGGTCTAAAACACAGAGCCTAGGGCTTGCTGATCGGAAGGTCAGCGGTTCGAATCCCTGTGACGGGGTGAGCTCCCGTTGTTCGATCCCAGCTCCTGCCCATCTAGCAGTTCAAAAGCACATCAAGTGCAAGTAGATAAATAGGTACCACTCCGGCGGGAAGGTAAACGGCGTTTCTATGCGCTGCTCTGGTTCGCCAGAAACGGCTTAGTCATGCTGGCCACATGACCTGGAAGCTGTCTGCGGACAAACGCCGGCTCCCTCGGCCTATAAAGTGAGATGAGTGCCGCAACCCCAGAGTCGTTCGCGACTGGACCTAACGGTCAGAGGTACCTTTACCTTTATACCTAGTGGGGCTTACTTCCCAGTAAGAGTGCACAGGATTGCAGCCTTAGGGGTTTTTTCTTTTCTGATTTGCCTTGACTTTTCAAAAGCTGCACCAGCTTTTTCATTTACCGCTGCACCCCAGACTCTTTTGCCCCATTTCTTTAATTAGGGCAAAAGCTTCTTTGCGGCCGCCTCTGTCCTCAGATATAGGGACGCGGGTGGTGCTGTGGGTTAAACCACTGAGCCTAGGACTTGCTGATCAGAAGGTCAGCGGTTTGAATCCCCGCAACAGGGTGAGCTCCCGTTGCTCGGTCCCTGCTCCTGCCAACCTAGCAGTTCAAAAGCACGTCAAAGTGCAAGTAGATAAATAGGTACCGCTCCGGCGAGAAGGTAAATGGCGTTTCCGTGAGCTGCTCTGGTTTGCCAGAAGCGGCTTAGTCATGCTGGTCACATGACCCGGCCAATAAAGCGAGATGAGCGCCGCAACTCCAGAGTTGGCCATGACTGGACCTAATGGTCAGGGGTCCCTTTACCTTTACCTTTCCTTAGATGCATTATATAAAATTATATAGTGTATTAGCATGCACACACACTTCAGTTTTGAAATGTTCAAAAATAATTATAAGGATAAACATAAATCCCAGGGAAACAACATAAACCAGAGGATAGAATATTTGTTTTACTTCCAGATTGCCTGCCTATGATGCTGAAACTTAAAATTAGTTAGGGATTTGTTTTGTTTGGCTTCTCTTTAACCTCTGAGGCTTTCACTCTCCTCAACAATCACCTGAGCAGAGCATTTTCCATGTTCCTCTTCTTGTTCTTTAAACCAAAAGAGAAGGAGCAAGAAAACACAACCGCCAGTAGGTGTGTTTAGCCTCTTGCAGGACCCCCCTAGCAAACCCATTAGGCACCTCTATTTGATTCCTTTTCCATTACCCAGAGTAAACAGTTGCACAGAGAATCTTGGGGGGTGGGGGCCTTTCCTCCCTCCCCCCAGCACACTCCAGGCCTATTAAAATAAAGAGAAGTCTCTATTTGTTTAGTGTTATACAATTGCAAAAATTTCAAGCGTGTGCAAACTTGTCACTCAACTCAGCTCTATTTATCACAGTCAGAATGCCTTGTCCCAGGAGCACAGATTTCTGCTGAACACAATGTTAAACACTTCATTTGAGCGGGGTGGGGGGTGGAAGCTGCTATCCCTGGCATTCCTCCTCTCCCTTCTGTTAACTTAAGATCATTGAGCTAAGAAAAAACAACAACGTACACACACACACACACACAAAAAGGGCTGTCCTTTTGTTTAAGAAACGTGGTCGCACGGAACAGAGCAGCGTCTCAGTAGGTGTAGGTGTGCAGAAGCTATTTCTAAAGCTTCACCCAAGAGCTTAGTAGAACATGCAAAGCAATCAATCAAAATCTCAATCTCCTCCTTTAATCATCCAGAAATAATAACTGCACTCCTTGGTTCAGAACCCTCCTCTCCCCCAAGCCTCTACAAAACAGGTGGTCACAATCTCTGGTTTAGCACTGTGTCCAAACCAGGAAGGTCCCACGGCTCCCAGTGGGAGACCACCTGCGTTACAGGCAGAAGGCTCCAGGTAGGATTGGGAATTCCCCTGCCTGAAACCCTGGAAAGCTGCTGCCAGTCCGTGTAGACAGTACTGAGCTAGAGGGACCGATTGGGGCTGCTCAGCGTGAGGTAGCTTCCCACATTCCTTCGGTAGTGGTTTGTTTTCCTCCAGCAAACCATGGCCAGTAGCAAACCGCTTCTGTTTGTAAAATCGCATCTTATTCTCAATCTCTCCACCGCACTCCATTTAGCACTGGGGACAGGGCATGTCTCTGGGGTGACTTGGTGTGCTTTGAGTGTCTGGGCCCACAGCTCCAAGAAAAGGAGTGGGACCATAGGTTGGCATTGTTAGGTGCTTGCAGAGGTCCCACTGCCCAGTGAAGGGGCTGCTGCCATTCGATGTAGTCTCTTCCTTTCTGACGTGGCCTGTTTATGTGTCCCCTCTAAGCAAGCAAGGAGCGATCAATGTGGGAATATGTAGGAGACTCCTTCTCATGTATTGTCTCTTCCTTCCAAGTCAGGGGTGATGGAGGTTATGCTCCACCTTCACAGCTGGAGGCAATGTACTTCCAAATACCAGTTGCTAGAAACCACAGGAGGCTGGGGAAAGTCTCACTTGTGGGTTTCTGGTGAACATCTGGTTGGCCACTGTGAGAACAGGATGCTGGACTAGATGGGCCACACTGGCCTGATCCACCAGAACTGCTCTTACATTCTTAAGGATATTAGGCAAATCAATGGCTATCAATGGCTGCTCACCATGATGGCTATGTTCTACATGTGTTCAGCTTGTTCTATGTTCAGCTTGATCTGGCAGGACTCCTCTTCTGGTGTCAAAACGGCCTAGAAGCCAAAGCACCTGGGGCAACCATATACCTTATTTTCTAATGACGTTGCTTGACAAAAGGTCAGAATTGGGTGCCTCCACCATATTGTACACCCTTTCTCTACCACTTGCTGGTAACCACAGGCATCTTGTGCTTGCTGCTTTCCCATCTGGTTGGCCACTGTGAGAACAGGACGCCAGATTGGATGGGCTGCTGCCCTGATCCAGTAGGTTATGTTCTTATCTGTAAAGGCGCATGTTTGGGTTACCTGGCTTCACTCTGGAGTGATGGGTCCCCTCTCTAGAGGTTAGATGGACACCTGGAGGTGACCTGGAGTTTCCAAGCTCCCTGCTAGCCAACTGACTCTTGTGCTTTTCTCCCCCCCTTCCTCTTTGGCGCCCCCTGCAGATGTGGCGGAGAGTCGTCGGGAATACGAGAGGGATGCAGCCAGCGGGACGCCACTCCACGCAGATCCTGCTCACCAGCAGCTCATGTCCCGAGTGTTGAGCCCGGCGCTCCCTGTGCCTGGTGGAGGGGGTCTGGTCCCCCTCACCAGCCCAGCAGGGAGCCGGCCCAGCCCCCCACACCACGAACTGCGGCTGGAGCCATCCACTTCGGAGCCCCTCCACCACCACCCCTACAAGCACCCGGTCTCTGCCTACGACCATTACCTGGGGGCAAAGAGCAGGCCAGCCCCCTACCCTTTGCCCAGCATCCGGGGACACAGTTACCACCACCACCACCACCACATGAATTCGGCGGCTGCCGCTGCAGCGGCTGCCGCTGCAGCCAACATGTATTCCACTGCCGGAGCTCCCACCAGCTATGACTATGGACCAAGATAACCTTTGAGACGCAAGGTCCTCTAGCTTATATGACTGGCTATCTGCATGGGTTTGAACGGCTCAGTAGCATACGTTTTCAGAGAGCACTATCTTGTCGAAAGAACATCCCCTTGTCTCACCTCCCCGCAAAAAACCAACAACCCTTTCCTGTTTCCATGAGGGGGTCCTTTATCTCTTGCACACGCTTTCTACTCCTCAATGTCTTCCCTTCTTGCAACGTTGGAATCATCCTTCATGACTTGGTTTCCTTCCTCGTCCCGGAGGGGGAAATGATCAGCCTGCTTCTCTTGACATGCGTGATGGATGGATGGAGGTTGGGACTTTACTCGGAGCATTTTGCACCGCCTGCCGCCCTGCTTGGAGGGCACCACCGTTCTCGTCCCGTCCCGTCCCCGACACAGTGATTGGCAGCTGCACTTTCCTCCCCTCCTCCCTTTGCTTTATAAATGAAGCCATATGTTGTTCTGTTGCCCTTGCTGCTGTCATCATAATAACCTTTTAGTGTTTATGCAGTTGTTTACCTGCTCAGAGTGCTTGCAGATTGCTACTTACAGCACTGCCACAGTGCAGGTAGGTCAGGTGATCGTGCCGACATGGCTGTGGACCTAAAGCGTGAGCATCAGAACAGCTCAGTTTTTATTTTTGCCTGAATTTTAGCTTGCCTACCTTACCGCTCTAAGGTAGGTGACAAGCTTTATCTGTCAGCTGATATAGGTAGATGGCAGACTTCCCCAACCTGGTGCTCTCTAAGTGATTTGGACTACAACTCCCATCAGCCTTGGCACGGACAGGAGAATTAGTCCAGGACATCTGGAGGGCATTGGCTTGGGGAAGGCAGGTGCAAATCCATTAGTCAGTGTAACAGTGGGGAAGGACCATGATTCAGTGCAGAAGCCCCCCAGGTTGCATCTCAGATCAGAGGGCAGATTATGGGGAAAGCCTCTACCTCCGAGACCCTGGTGAGCTGCTGCTGGTCAGTGTAGACCAGGCATGGCCAAACCTGGCCCTCCAGCTGTTTTGGGACTACAATTCCCATCATCCCTGACCACTGGTCATGTTAGCTATGGATGATGGGAGTTGTAGTCCCAAAACAGCTGGAGGGCCGAGTTTGGCCATGCCGGGTGTAGACAATGCTGGGATACATGGGCAAATAGTCTGTCCTGGTCCAGGTCTTTTCTGTTGCAGGCAGAGTACTGGTGTACAGCAGGCCTGCATGTCCTACAGGTGAGTTGAGCATCTGTGGACCTTGGGTGGAATTCAGTGTCACACTAAGATGACCGTTCCATCAGTACAATGACTTTTGCTTTTGCTGGATGGAGCAACCTCCCCTCTCGTCCCCGCACATCGTGCTCTGGGGTATTCTCTCAATCCTCCCGAGCAGATTTGATTGGGGGGCGGGCGTACAAGGGCAGGAAAGGATGGGGAAAGTCCCATTTCACTAGTGGGTCCCCAGATGTTGTTGGACTACAACTCCCATCATGCCTAGCCAGCGTGGCCAGGGATGATGGGATTTGTAGTCCAACAACATCTGGGGACCCACAGGTTGAGAACCGCTGCACTAGTGGGACTCATTGTGCTGGCTACCACTAGTGCAAAAATGTAGCTGGATCAGGCCCGTTGCAGCTGGCATGGCAATTTTAAAGTGCTTGCTGTTCTGGCATGTGTGTGATTTCAGCACCAAGAGTGGCCTCTATTTGTCATCTGTTGCACGGGCCCTGAATGCTCATGGTACCATTTGTTGGAGACCTCAGGAGGGGAGAGCTCTCTTCTGCTCGGATCCTGCTTGGGAGTTTCCCATGGGCATCTGGTCGGTCACTGTGAGAACAGAATGCATCTCAACCCATTCAACCATAGTCCCAAACCATACATAGGTTTGTATCCAGCACTAGTCCTTGTGAGAGTAAACTCGCTGAAATCAATGGGCATGGCTAGCTTGGGCCCATTGATTCCAGTGGGCCTTCTCTGAGTAGGACCGGCATTGGATACAGCCCAGGGAGCCCTTGGAGTGGCACAGCTGAGACCACCAGAAGCACTTCTGTGATACGTACTCACAGGGTTTCCAGTGTATGCAAAGGTGGGTTTCTTCTGTAAGGTCCATCAGAATCATTACATGCCTACGCAAAAGGGGTGCTATGTTGAGAAAGACTTTCAGAACTGCAGGTATTTTTGAATTATGTACACAATGTTTTTGCCAGGCTTAGGGCACTGCTGAGACTGATGATTATGCATCAAGATGGTGTGAAATTGCAGTAGATACTGGTTCTGATTTTGTCCGCGTGGGAGTATCCTTAGAAGTTGTCTGCAGTTTAAGGTTTTTGGCTCAGTGGCAGAGCATCTGTCTTTGCATAGAAAAGGTCCTCGGCATCTCCAAGTAAAGCTGGGTACGTCCTCTGCTTGAAACCTCAGAGAGCCCCTGTCAGTCAGTGTAGACAATACTAAGCTAGATGGGCCTGATGACTCAATATAAGGAAGCTTTTTTTGTTTGTTTAGTCGTTTAGTCGTGTCCGACTCTTCATGACCCCATGGACCAGAGCACGCCAGGCACTCCTGTCTTCTACTGCCTCCTGCAGTTTGGTCAAACTCATGCTGGTAGCTTCAAGAACACTGTCCCACCATGTCGTCCTCTGCGGTCCCCTTCTCCTTGTGCCCTCCATCTTTCCCAACATCAGGGTCTTTTCCAGGGAGTCTTCTCTTCTCATAAGGTGGCCAAAGTACTGGAGCCTCAGCTTCACGATCTGTCCTTCCAGTGTGGTGTAGTGGTTAAGAGCGGTGGTCTCGTAATCTGGGGAACCGGGTTCGCGTCTCTGCTCCTCCACATGCAGCTGCTGGGTGACCTTGGGCCAGTCACACTTCTCTGAAGTCTCTCAGCCCCACTCACCTCACAGTGTGTTTGTTGTGGGGGAGGAAGGGAAAGGAGAATGTTGGCCGCTTTGAGACTCCTTAAAGGGAGTGAAAGGCAGGATATCAAATCCAAACTCCTCTTCTTCTTCTTCTTCTTCTTCTTCTTCTTCTTCTTCTTCTTCAGTGAGCACTCAGGGCTGATTTCCTTCAGAATGGATAGGTTTGATCATAGAGTTGGAAGAGAATCATAGAGTTGGAAGAGACCACAAGGGCCATCGAGTCCAACCCCCTGCCAAGCAGGAAACACCATCAGAGCACTCCTGACATATGGTTGTCAAGCCTCTGCTTAAAGACCTCCAAAAAAGGAGACTGCACCACACTCCTTGGCAGCAAATTCCACTGTCGAACAGCTCTTACTGTCAGGAAGTTCTTCCTAATGTTTAGGTGGAATCTTCTTTCTTGTAGTTTGGATCCATTGCTCCGTGTCCGCTTCTCTGGAGCAGCAGAAAACAACCTTTCTCCCTCCTCTATGTGACATCCTTTTATATATTTGAACATGGCTATCATATCACCCCTTAACCTCCTCTTCTCCAGGCTAAACATGCCCAGCTCCCTTAGCCGTTCCTCATAAGGCATCATTTCCAGGCCTTTGACCATTTTGGTTGCCCTCCTCTAGACACGTTCCAGTTTGTCAGTGTCCTTCTTGAACTGTGGTGCCCAGAACTGGACACAGTACTCCAGGTGAGGTCTGACCAGGGCAGAATATAGTGGCACTATTACTTCCCTTGATCTAGATGCTATACTTCTATTGATGCAGCCCAGAATTGCATTGGCTTTTTTAGCTGCCGCGTCACACTGTTGGCTCATGTCAAGTTTGTGGTCAACCAAGACTCCTAGATCCTTTTCACATGTACTGCTCTCAAGCCAGGTGTCCCCCATCTTGTATTTGTGCCTCTCATATTTTTTGCCCAAGTGCAATACTTTACATTTCTCCCTGTTCAAATTTATCTTGTTTGTTTTGGCCCAGTTCTCTAATCTGTCAAGGTCGTTTTGAAGTGTGATCCTGTCCTCTGGGGTGTTAGCCACCCCTCCCAGTTTGGTGTCATCTGCAAATTTGATCAGGATGCCCTTGAGTCCATCATCCAAGTCGTTGATAAAGATGTTGAATAAGACCGGGCCCAAGACAGAACCCTGTGGCACCCCACTAGTCACTCTTCTCCAGGATGAAGAGGAACCATTGATGAGCACCCTTTGGGTTCGGTCAGTCAGCCAGTTACAAATCCACTGAGTGGTAGCATAGTCAAGACCGCATTTTACCAGCTTCTTTACAAGAATATCATGGGGCACCTTGTCAAATGCCTTGCTGAAATCAAGGTAGGCTACATCCACTGCGTTCCCTTCATCTACCAGGCTTGTAATTCTGTCAAAAACGAGATCAGGTTAGTCTGACATGACTTATTTTTCAGAAATCCATGCTGACTATTGGTGATCACAGCATTCCTTTCTAGGTGCTCACAGACTGTTTGCTTAATGATCTGCTCCAGAATCTTCCCTGGTATTGATGTCAGACTGACTGGGCGGTAATTATTTGGGTCCTCTCTTTCCCCCTTTTTGAAAATAGGGACAACATTTGCCCTCCTCCAGTCTGCCGGGACTTCGCCTGTTCTCCAGGAATTCTCAAAGATGACTGCCAGTGGTTCTGAGATCACATCTGCCAGTTCTTGCAGTCCATGGGACTCTCAAGAGTCTCCTCCAGCACCATAATTCAAAAGCATCAATTCTTCAGCGATCAGCCTTCTTTATGGTCCAGCTCTCACTTCCATACATCTGTCCGAGTCCTAGGCAATACTAATTGCCAAGATCAGGTATCGCCAACCTTTTCAGATCCAGGACCCACATTTAACCCAGATGTGCATTTGGTGGTTGTGCTTCTTTTGTGGCCCACATGGGATCAGGCTGGCACCGAATAGTGGCTCCCCACCCATTAGCTGAAGATAAGTGGCATAGATGGACCTAGCTCAAGAGCGTTCTTTCAATGGCAGAGAGCAGGTACATGTGCCGGCTGCATCATGGATCGTGTAAGCTGGGTATTGCACTCATGCAAATGGGTGTAAGCTTTATAGACAACACCTCCATTTTTGCTGGGGGACAGAGAGAGAGAGAGAGAGAGAGAGGGAGGGAGTTGGACTAAATCACACAAATGCCAACATCTCCTTTGTTACCATTTGTGTGCAGTGGTGGTCAGGCTTGTCCTGAGGTACGGGGCTAACCCCCTACTGCTCAACACCAGAGGCTATCTCTGGGTTGTCTAGATATTTTATTTTCACACACTTGTCACATGAACCAGAGAAGTTACACAAGTGTGTGTGGGCACATGGACACGTTTGATCTTCTTGCAGCGTGTGGGCTAGTTTGGAAGGAAAGGCACCCTGACCCCCTAAAGCGGTACTCACGACTGAATAGCCCAGGTTATGCTTCTTTCCCCAAAGGCAGTTTTTAGACAAGGAAGCTGTAGTGAAGACTTTGAGCAGAATCAAAACATAACACTTGGGTTCATGGGCTGCTGTCGGGTCCCGTCCCCCCCCCCCATCACGTAGCAGAGAGCAGGGAAAGGAAGTTTCAGTCTCCCCACGCAGCTGCAACAACAACCTCCGCCGACTTGACCGGAGCTGTGTCTGACCTTAAGAATGACTGAGAAGGTCCCTCTAGTGGGTTCAGGTACAAAGAGCTCTGATGGGATCAGGCCAGTGGCCAACCAAGTCATCATCCTCTTTGTGAGGCCAACCAGAACCCCCTTGGAAGCCCCGGAGAAGGACCTGGGTGCAACAGGGCTCTCTCCACTTTCGAGTCTCCAACAGCAGAGGCAGATCATAGCCACCCTGACTAGTAGACCTTGATGGTACCAGCCTGTTCTGAAGCAGCTGTCCTATCCTGTTCCAAACGCCCCCAGCCAAAAATGATGGTTGGAAGCATTTCTGGACCCTAACAGGAGGTCCTTGCATGCTGGTCATTATATTTATTTTATTTATTTCTTATCTCACATGCTGGCAGAAAGTGTGGTTCAAAACGCCTGGAAGGAACCAGGTTGGGGATGCTGGTCCACACTGGCTGGCAGCAGCTCTCCACCAATTCGGATTGGGCCTGAGATGCTCTGCATGCAAGGCAGATACTCAACCACTGAATTAGGTCCCTAACCCTAACAAGAAGCTGCCTTATAAGGAGCCAGGCCGTTATCTAGCTCAATATTGTCTACACTGGCTGGCAGGGATTCAGCCAGGACTCTGTCCCAGCCCTACCTAGGGACAACCTGGGATTCAACCTGGGACTTTCTGCATGCACAGGAGATTCTCTCCCGTGGAGCAGTGACCCTTGCTGCCTTATGCTGAGTCCAACCATTGGCTCATCACGCTTAGTACTGTCTGCACTGACTGGCAGCTGCCCTCCAGGGATTCAGAGAGGAACCATTCCCAGCTCTAACCTAGAGATGTTGGAGATTGATCCTGCAACCCTTTGCAGGAATAGCATGCATTGCACCACTGCGCCTCTGGTTCAGCTCTCACCCCAGTATACGAAATTGCCTTTTTACCGAATCAGGCTATTGGTTCTACACTGACTGGCAGTGGCTCTCTGGAGCATCAGGCAGAAGTCTTGGTCCTACCTGGAGATGCCAGGGGTTGAACCTGTCCGCCCCACATGCCCCCCTCCCTCTGCCACTGTGTTACTGCCCCTTCTGGAGGAGGAGGGGCATTCATTGGAGCACAAACAGAACCAAGACTTGCGACGCCTTAAAGGCGAATACATTTATTGCTTTGGTGGGCTGGAGATCACTGCTTCTATTCCACTTTATCTGACAAAGTGTGCTTTAATCAGCGGAGTTTTGGCTTTCAAATTTCAGCAGTGGTCTGTTGTCCTATGCACCTGCTCTTCTTTGAAAGAGCAGTCGGACTCTCTGACCTTCCTAGAAGCTGCCTTGCGTCAAGTCCCCTAGCTCAGAAAGGACAAAACCAGAATTGAGTTGGCTCCTCCCACTGCTGGCTCTGGCGCCACCTACTGTTGGCCTCCCTGCCCTTTCCCCTATCAGCCCCAATGGGCACCAGCCTTTGCTTATTACTTTCTTAAAGGTAAAGGGACCCCTGACCATTAGGTCCAGTCGCAGACGACTCTGGGGTTGCGCGCTCAGCTCACTCTATAGGCTGAGGGAGCCGGCGTTTGTCCGCAGACAGCTTTCAGGTCATGTGGCCAGCAGGACTAAGCTGCTTCTGGCGAACCAGAGCAGTGCACGGAAATGCCGTTTACCTTCCCGCCGGAGCAGTACCTATTTATCTACTTGCACTTCGTGCTTTTGAACTGCTAGGTTGGCAGGAGCAGGGACCGAGCAATGGGAGCTCACCCCGTTGTGGGATTCGAACTGCCGACCTTTTGATCGGCAAACCCTAGGGTCTGAGGTTTAGACCACAGCACCACCCGCGTCCCCACAGCACCACCTACTTTCTTAGGTGTACTCTTTAAACTTGATGTAAGAAGCGGAGGTGGCTTGTCTGACATAGATGGGCTTTAAAGGGGTTTTTTGGGGGGGTCATTGCAAGACGATCCATTCACAGCTCTTGGCAACATAAGACACCACTATATTCCAAGTTGGACCCTTAGTCTATTGGACTCAGTATTGCCTGCACAGGCTGGCAGCAGCTTTCCAGGGCTTCTCTGCCTGGAGATGAAGGGAATGGAGGTTTCTGAACCCCAGGCTCTACCACTGAGCTATGCCTTCCCCAGAAATGCTTTGCCAGCACAGCTAAATAAATCACCTATGATCAGTGGATGTCTATCACTTAGTTTACCAGTGGTTGGGGGGGGGACAGGAGCAACAGAATGGGGAGAGTTAATGCCTTAAGTGTGGGCTTCCTGGAAGGGACTCAGGCAACAGTTCTCTGGAGTTCAATATTGTCTACTCCCAGCTGGCAGTGTCTATCCAGGGTTCCAGGCAGGGTTCTCTCCCAGCCCCACCAGGACATGCCGGGGATTGAACCTGAGACCTTCTGCATGCCAAGCAGATGTTCTAACACTGTTCTTCCTGGTGCTCTGATCATCCCTGATGCAGGTTTATCTATCTTCAACTTGGCAAATCTATCTATCTTGTATGCACATCAGCAGTCATGACACACCTCTAGCCTAAACATACCCAAGCTCTGAGTGCAACTTCATGCCTCTGCAGCCCAGATTCTGCAAGTTGCTCCTTGATCTCCTTCAAGAGAGCTTCTCCTGCCTCCTCCCTCTTTCCCCGGATATACTGTGTTACTACTGCAGTGAGAACTCTACTTTCAGAAGGCTTTAGCAGCGCTCGGAAGAGTCACGGACGAAAGCAGATGTGTTCTAGTTATTGTATTATTTTTTTCCCTTTGCAAGAAAGTCTGGTTCAATCGCAATGCGTTGCACAAAAAGGGATCCTTTAAAAAAAGTGTAGTGGTAATTGTGCATTCTTTCAAGGGCTGGACTAAACCATGTTGTCAAGCACAGCCCTTAATTAGATGGCTGATGGACTATTGCAGGCTTCCTCAACCTGGGCCCTCCAGATGTTTTTGGCCTACAACTCCCATGATCCCTAGATAGCAGGACCAGTGGTCAGGGATGATGGGAACTGTAGTCTCAAATCATCTGGAGGGCCGCGGTTGAGGAGGCCTGGACTATTGCAATCAATATTGCCCTGACCGCCTCCATCTGTTTCAGACTACAATTCCCATCAGCCCCAGCCAGCACAGTTCTGCTGATGGAAGTTGTAGTCTGAAATAGATGGAGTCAGACTGGCCAAGGCTGCAGGTTTGTGGGATTCCTGCGTTGCAGGGAGTTGGACTAGATAACCCTTGGGAAGGGGTGTCCCTTATGACCCTAGCATTCTACAATTCTGTGTATCACCCGCCCATCACCAGAGAACCTCCCTTCCCCCTCTATGAGAGCTTTTGCTTTTGTCACTCTTATTTCCAAATTATTGGAAGGGTTTTCTCCCCCATTACGTGGATTAGTGCCAAAGCTTTGGGTCAAGTCTTTCATGACATTGGTATATTTATTGTTATTATTAATATTATTATTTTCTTCCTTTCAGCAATTATGCAATTTGTGGTGTGTGCGTGTGTTCTTTTTCTCTTCTCTTCTTGATAGTTGCAGTGTAAAGTGAAGGGTGGGGTGGGGTAGGGGGACCGGAATATTCAACTCAACCAAAGAGTCATATCTGCAAAGAGTGTAGATAATCTGTAGATATTTGTAGATAACTGTAGATAAACATACCATGGTTACACTGGGGGTGGGAGGGGGAGAGATGACAGACAGTAACATTTATAAAAGGTTTTCGTCTTCCTTCTTTCTCGATCTCCTGTCTTTTTTCCCCCTCCCCTTCGAAATCACATGCTTGTGGGGGCGGCAGCAGTGTTCATTTCATGTTACAAAAGCAAAACAGAGCTCTTCACACATCCTGATTCCAGACGGCTGGAGCTGCAATACTAAAAGCCTGGTTTGTAGCACAAACCTCAGGAGGTGGGGAGCCTCAGGTCTAGGGTCTGGGTGTGGCCCTCTGGGGCTCTCAGTCGGGTTTGCAGAACTTTCCCCAGGCTACTTGCCTGCCTTGCTTCACACTCATACCTCTCACTTGTCTGAGTGGAGGACAGTTTTTAATTGGGGAAGGAAGGTTAACATTTATATTAGTTGCCTCACCCCATTTGTTTTTTTCAATTTTTTTTATTAGTTTTCCAAATTTATAACAAACATATCCACAAACATAAACAAAAAAAATCATCAAAAAACAAACAAACAAGTATTTCCACTTTTGTTGTCATTGTTGGGTGACTTCCTCGAATCCCCCTGGCTGAGTTTCCATATACCGTATTTTTTGCTCTATAAGACTCACTTTTTCCCTCCTAAAAAGTAAGGGGAAATGTGTATGCATCTTATGGAGCGAATGCAGGCTGTGCAGCTATCCCAGAAGCCAGAACAGCAAGAGGGATCACTGCTTTCTCTGTGCAGCGATCCCTCTTGTTGTTCTGGCTTCTGAGATTCAGAATATTTTTTTCTTGTTTTCCTCCTCCAAAAACTAGGTGCGTCTTATGGTCTGGTGCGTCTTATAGAGCGAAAAATATGGTAAGTCATTATAGCAGTTTTCCAAAACTATTTTCACATAAAATTTACTTGGTTCATTAACATCTTTCTTTCTTTTCATTTTGACTTTTATCCATAGTATTCTACAACATCACATATTTAAATCCTAGGCCAATCTGATAGGTAAAGGTAAAGGGACCCCTGACCATTAGGTCCAGTCATGACTGACTCTGGGGTTGCGGCGCTCATCTCGCTCTATAGGCTGAGGAAGCTGGTGTTTGTCTGCAGACAGTTTTCCCGGGTCATGTGGCCAGCATGATTAAGCCGCTTCTGGCAAACCAGAGCAGCGCACGGAAATGCCGTTTACCTTCCCACTGGAGCGGTACCTATTTATCTACTTGCACTTTATTGCATTTATCTACTTGGGAAATGTCTGTGCATCTTATGGAGCAAATGCGTGGTCCCTGGAGCCAAATTGCCCAGGGGCGAAAAACAGATCATGCTTTTTTTTTTTTTAGAAAGGGGGAAGGGGGTGTTGAAACGAAGCCGCTGAGCAGCTGGGCGGCAAGCGATCGGGAGAGAGATAAGGGACTCTAGCGATAAAGGAGGCTGCCTGGGGGGAAAGTAAAAGCACATGGATCTTCAGGATTTTTGCATTGGGTCACCCCAAATTCACCCTCAGATCACATAGCATGTCCATGGCTACAGCCTGCACCAAAAGAAGAAACATGCACCCACTGTTTCGTGGGGCCGCAATGGTGCAAAAACGTGATTACGAAGCACCAATCCACATGGATCCTCAGGATTTTTGCATTGGGTCTCCCTAAATTCACCGTCAAATCACATAGCATGTCCATGGCTACAGCATGAAACACAAAAATCATACATCCACTGTTTCATTCAGAATATTTTTTTTCTTGTTTTCCTCTAAAAACTAGGTGCGTCTTATGGTCAGGTGCGTCTTACGGCATGAAAAATACGGTAATTCCACCCGGGACATTGGTTAGTTTATTTAAGAAAATTTCTAACCCTTTTTTTTTTTTTACCTCCAAAGGGCTCTCCCTAGATTTCCCTGATATTCTCAGTTGTGACTGGTGAACTTCAACTTTTATGAATGAAAAAAGCCTCATCGCAGGCAGTGCAAGGGAATCCTGGGTCTAATCCTGTTCTAGTAGAGCAGGTGCAGGGAACCTTTGGCCCTCCAGATGTTCAAGGAAGATGTTGGAGGAAGGAACTCCCAGACAGTCCAGCAGGGATTGGGTACACTCAATGGGCTCGGAATAGAGACAGGCTTTTGGGAGCAGGGAAGACAGGAACAGAACGAACCTGGTGGAACCCTGATCCAAAGCACTCACCACTGCAACGTTTTGTTGCAGCTCCAACTTCCAATGATGTCACAACCATTTATTTAGCTGAAATAACCCTAACTGGAGCACAGTTGTACAAATGCAGGAACCAATGAACAAAGAATATAACACAAGCAACTTTTTAAAAAATTGATTTATCAGGAACCCATGGACAAAATAACAAATAACCATGCAAACGATAACAGACCCATATTCGAGGCATATCCAGGAGAGGAAAAAACCCTAATCATAGAGATGCAGTTACATATAGCTGAGATTGTAATATGACTCTATATAGTCCAACCACAAGAAGGAGTGAGTCATGGGAGAAGCAATTCTATGACTCTCCCTATTTATAATAGCAAAAAATGGAGGCCAATGTGCATAAAAATTGTCCTGTTTGGCTTCACCGCAAACTACCCAAAATGACCAGACGCCCAAATAAAGCAAGCAGCACTTTAAACAAAAACAAAAACCTCATGTTAATGAGTTTCAAAGATGTTATACAGTGGTACCTCTGTTGCACATGGGATCCGTTCTGGAGCTCCGGTCGGATCCTGGGGAATTCGCAACCGGAGGTGTCTCTTCTGCACATGCGCATGGCGTGGTAGAGCCCTTCTGTGCATGCGTGCATAGCGAAACCCAGAAAAATACTTCCAGGTTTGCCGTGTTCGCATCCTGAAGGATACGCAACCAGAGGTGTGTGTACCCAGGGATACCACGGTATGTGAGAGGCAATAAAATGGGGTGCTAACCCATTAAAAGCCCACTGAAATTTAAAAGTGTATTTAATTTTAGTCAGAAGAAACGTGTGGCGTTTGAACAGCAAAGAAACCCAGGGCTGTCACAGAAAAGCTCCCAGGTCTTGTGTTCACAGACCAAACCTTCCAAAATTGAAACCAAGAGCAAGGCAGACTCTGATGATAATTCCTGAGTGGGACTGGAAGATGGGGGCAAGTATTCATTGGATCATTATGAGATTTTCTGCACAGTTTAAATGGACGAGGGCCTTTTCATGACTGTCCAATCCCTCTGCAAGTGATCTTTCCATCTTCCTAGTGTTCTAGGTGGAAGGTTGCTGCTGTCCTTTTACAGTGGTGCCCCGCAAGACGAATGCCTCGCAAGACGGAAAAACCGCTAGACGAAAGGGTTTTCCGTTTTGAAGTTGCTTCGCAGGACGAATTCCCCTATGGGCTTGCTTCGCAAGACGAAAATACCTTGCGAGTCTAGAGGTTTTTTTCGCTTCCCCCTTTATCTAATCTGCTAAGCCTTTAATAGCCTTTAATAGCCTTTTAGCAGCTAATCCCCTAAGCCTTTAAGCCTTTAATAGCCGCTAAACCGCTAATAGCGCTAATAGCGCTAATCCGTCAATGGGCTTGCTTCGCAAGACGAAAAAACCGCTAGACGAAGACTCTCGCGGAACGGATTAATTTCGTCTTGCGAGGCACCACTGTAATTATAAGGGAGAGAATTTAGGCACACCATGCTCCAGCAAGCAGCTTGAAGTGGAACCGTTCAGAAAGAGCTGTACCACGTCATGACACCGATTGTGTGGCTCAGTTTCCCCAGGTTCATGCTATACCTGAATCACACCAGGGTTTCAGACCAACTCTGAAGATGCAAGTTAGAGGGGACATGATGAGGTGT